ATTTAAAGAGGAAAGAAAATATTTATTCGTATATAATAATATTATAATACATTAATATTATATACCATTATTATACGAAATTTTAGCAAAAATATAGAAAAATATAAATTAATAAGTATAAATTATATATAATGCAATATGTCTATTTCATTATTTTTTTAAAAAATCTCAAGAGGGGCGACAAAGCTATTGAAATTTTCGGATAATTTATACCAGTAATTTATTAGAAAAGAAAACTATACAATTTATACAATACAACTATACAACTATACAATTTGAAGATGATAAGGCGTCTTGGTTTATACATTTTCAGTTCATTTGATTTGTCTATGAAATTGTTTCGTGTAAAAAATGAAATTTTTATTAATATCAAAATCAACCAACCAGTCCATATTTTTCTTTTTTAAGATTCCTCACCATTATTGGCTAAATTCGCCCCGCTGGCTTGTCGCATTGGGCAAATTCTGGGTCGCCAACGTCAGCCAGATTTTTGGATAGGTCTATGGTTTACTCCTGCGAGGAATAGACCCTCAATATCGGCGCTCCGAATTGAGCAACAACCCATCGAGCCATTCTTTCCCAGCGAGTCTAAGTGCAAATTTATTTTTTTTTCTTTTTAATGATTCCATTTCAAGTCGTTCTAAAATCTCTTCACTGGTTTTCTTTAGCAAATTTTAGCAAATTTATTCTAGAGAAAATTTTATTTTATTTTTTGTGAAAATTCTTTTTAATTCTTTTGATTTTTTTCTGAAATATAACAACTATTATAGTCGAATAAACATCTAATAAAAGTATTATGAATGTTTATCGTTAGCTTATGTTTTGGATTTGCATTTAATGCTATGGAACATGTTTAAATTTCTTGAGGTTTTTTCAAAATAAATAAATAAATTTTTATAAAATTTTCTTACAATAAATAAAATAAATTTTTATCATTGTTATAAGAGTAAAACTCAGAATTTTATATATTTCGCGCGACTTTTTTAGACGATTTACGGAGAACTTCAGTAATTTAAATTTATTTCTTATTGCCTTCCCATGAAACAGAATTTTCGTATTTCCATCAGTTTCATCAGTTTTTTCGATTGCAAAAACAGAAAGTCATCCGTTATAATCGATTCGCAATTTATAAAATTCCCATACATGAAATTCTTGTAATAATAATTGGTACTCTCATTGAAATTTATTCTACTATCATATTATAATATTATTCTACTATCATATTATCATATTATAATCACTAATGAGAGTTAAAAAATACTGAAATTTCATCATCTGCAAGATAAGAGTGAAGAAATTCCGTTTAATTCCAGATATGTGATGGTCCACTAAAATGTTAAATCCAGTAGAATGGTACTATCTTTTTGTATATTTTTCTGTATCCTTCGTTATTTTCAATAATCTTATCAATAATCAATAAAAATAGCCTTTTGCCGAGCATTTTGAGACGATCTTCTTCCATTTTTTGCGTTTCTGTTCTTATTTTCTATTTGTATTTCAGTTTTTTTTTATTACTTCAAATATGCTTTCAACGAAGTTGATGGTGGACAAATGACATTTTTATTTTTTCCGTTAATAACATTATGAAACTCAGATTTCTTAAAATTCTTCAACGGAAATATTTCAATATTTCAATTTCAATTTTTTTCAATTATTCAATTTTATCGAAATATTTCAATTTTCGTTGCTAAAATGATTTGATAATTCTTATTTTGATCATTCAAAACGTCTAGAAAAGTTTTCCTTGGGTCAATAATTAACCATTGATAATGAAAAATTGATAAAATAAAAATCCGGGCAATCGGGGCATTCGGCTTTTATCACTTAACCTATAGAGTAAACCTGTCATGAAAAACGAAATCCTCGACAGCCATATTCTCTTTGGCCTAATAATGACCAATAAAGCCAAGTAGCCAATAGTTAACACTATCTCTTCTTTCTAAAAAAGCAATGACTCCAGCAAGCACATAACTTTATCATTGTGATAAATTCTGATAAACAATATTAGAGAAAAATTTTTAAGATTTCAAAAATGAATTTTTCGGTAGTAAAAATGAAAATTAAAGCGAAATCTATGCGATTCAACCATTATTTATTTGTCTATCAACGACAATATTTTCGTAAATATTTTCGATAATTAAATTAAATTAAATTGATACAAATACTCAGATGAATGATTATTTAAAATATAACGGAATATTTTAGTGAAGAAAGAAAGAATTAAGCAAAATAAACAGAAGAAAGACTTATAAAAAATTCCTATAAATTATATCTGAAAATTATTTTTTTTTTTAATTCAAATAATAAAAATTCTTTTTTCAATTTTTTTTTTCAACTCGAAATTTTTTCATTCAAAGAATTTTCATAATTTTAATCATCAAAAATCGTATCAAATAATAAGTTTATTCGAATATTCTTTTAAGAAAATTCACACCAATTGAAGAAAAATGATCTTCAAAAAGAATCTTAAAAAAAAATTAAAAAATTAAAAATTAAAAAATTCAGAACCACTTGAGAAGAGTATTTGTGAAATACCGATTCAATTGAGGAAAAAAGGAAAATATGGGATAAAGGATATCCTTCTCATCTTCGTCCTCTATCCTTCCTCTCGCGAAGCATTCGCATTTCTATAGCCAACCGAATTATAACTATGAAAATATTTGTTTGAGGAATGAAAAAAATAAGAACCAACCAATAAGTAATAAAAATAAAGCACTGAATCTCAAAATTTTATGCTAAAACAATTCAACCAGATTTCCAACAATTAAATTTTTTCATTTCACCGTTTTCATTAACAAAAAAACATATTTTTAAAATTTATTGAAATAAATAATAATAAAAATAACAGCATTAACAATAAAAAAATAATAAAATAAAAATAAAAAGTAGAAAAAAAAATTTGAAAAAAAATTCAATGATTAGTGAAGATTTTTTTCGTTAATAAAAACTTACAATGGAAAACTTTTAAAAATAAATAGAAAATACAAGAAAAAAAAAAAGTAAGCAATGCTTATCATTTCAGGTGATTAGAATTGGCTTATAGCTAGTAAAACGAATGAGAAATTTGCTGACAGAAATTGATTCAGATGACATTTTTCGCTATAATTTTTTCAAAAGGCAAATTTACACCTCTTGCAGCATATTTGATCACTCGGCTATCCTACCACCTACAAATATAAACAAAGCCTAGGTTTGATATTAACAATAGGTTTCATTATATATAAGGTTTCACTACGGACCAACCAATTTCATTCAATTCCGCAAATTAATCACTTTTATCATTTTTATCATTCGCCAAACGTTTTTTTTTAATTATTTGTGAAAAACATTTTGATTAAATTTTAAGAAAAATAAAAAGTGGAATGTATATTGAATTTGCGGAAAAGTGTTGAAATCTTAGCCATAAATTTGAGAAATTTATCCGCAGTACCATTTCCAAACATATCACTTTTCGCTTAATCCATTGTTTGATAGGATTTGAGAATTTCAAAGACGGAATTCTGGATTGGAAGCAAATGGAGTCATTCGGCTTGTTTAGACGAGAAACATCTGCTTTTAAATTAGATTAAATCAGCTTGTTAGGAGATTTCACAGCAATGCTTTCAATAGTCTTGCGGATAAAATTTCATGCTATTAATTTCATGCTTTATTTATTATTAGTTACTTATAATTCATTATTAATAAAGTTAAAAATACAAAAAAAACCCCAGAAAATCATTCGTCCTTCGATAATAATAATAATAATAATAATAATAATAATAATAATAATAATAACAATAACAATAATAATAATTTCTTTCATAAAATATTAAAATATTCAATATTCATAAAATCTAAATCAAATAAAAAATAAAATATATATTTTGATATCATTTGAAAAGAAAAGCACAACCGATATGAATCACAACAAATAAATGTTAATTGCAATTGAATGAATGAATATTTATATGAAAAGAGAAATATAATATTAATCATAAATATTTAAAAAATGTAAAATCAAAAAAGAGAGCTGTGGGAAGAATTAGCAACAAAAAAAAATTTGCCAAAATTTTTTAAAAAAATTTATTTAGTTCCTTCAAAAAAAAGGAGAAATAAATCCTTAAAAAAAAGATCAAATAATTAATGGCTAATAAATATAAATAAATATATAATTAATAATTAAAAAATAAATTCAAAAAATTTAATAAATTAATTTAATTAATTTAATTTAATTATTTAAATTAAATTTAAAATTTATAATATTAATATTAATATTTAAAATAAAATTTAATTAATTTAATAAATAAATTCAAAAAATTCAAAATAATTTTTAAACTGATAAAAGTTAATAAATGAAATAATAAATAATCAAATTTTTGGCATTCAAACTAGTAAATTTACGAAAAAAAAATAACAAAAATAACAACCTTAAGAGAAAGATCAAATGGAATGAAATCGAATGAAAAGAAAAAGCCAAAAAAACTTAAGTGAATTTTAAAATTTTTAAGATTTACAGAAGGAAAGAAACCAAATCAAACAATTAGTTATTACCGAAGGCGAAGGCGTTAAGAAAATTCAAAGCCCAAACTGATGACGAATTAAAATATCTGCAAAAACTTAAAATTTTAAAATTGCTTTTTTTTAAAAAAAGCATATTTGAATTAATTATAATTAAACCTATAAAATCCAAAGGACGAAAAAGGTTATGGCGACTATAGAAGAATTAATTAACAATAAAGATGAGTTTAAAGAAGTCAAAAATGCAAAACTAAGAAAGAAAAGAATGAATCAAATTTCTTGAAGCAAAATAAGAAATTCACATAACCTTTGCGCTGAAAAAGAAACGAAATTTTGAGCAAAAAAAAATTTAAGCAAAAAAATAAAAAAATATTAAAAAAATGAAAAATAGCTACAATAGCAAATTTAAAGCGAAAGATTTCGCGTTAAATGAATCACATAAAATCTCGATTTTTGATCATTATTAACCAAATCATTTTCGAAACATCTTCATTTAAAAATAGTTAATCAGGCACTACCACTGTTTTTCTTCCATTAAAAAGCAATGTTTGTATAGGAGGATGATAACAAGGATCATTTTCTTTGGCAAATATTGGCTGCAATCATAGAATTTAGATATGAAATACAAGGAAAAACTTTGAAAAAATTATCAAAAAAAGAATAAAATTAGTAAAACTAAAACTAAAATAAAACTTAAAACTTTCTTATCACTTCAAAATCCTATTAACAAACCGCAAAATTTAAAAAATAAGAAAATAAACTGCAATTAATCAATTATATCCATTCTCACTATCCATCCTTTAAATATTCTGAAATCTTTAAAAAATGGACCAATACTTTAATATCGTCATAATCTTGAAAATTATCAATCATCTCCCGCAATGACATTGTCAAACCGTGGTTCGCGAACTGTACAATAGTTGACCTGAAACACCAGAATGAAATCAACCATCTAAGAATCATAACAATTAATCAGTTAATTATATTTAACAGGCTTCGATTGACTGGACTTGTGAAGTTCTGTTCATGTGATATTCAGAAATATAAATGGCAAGCCGTTTTATAAATTTTATTTCCATAATGCATAGTTTATAAAAAAAAACAAAATTCTTCTAACCGGTTTTGATCAAATAGAGCACAACTTTTTATCCGATCACAAATAATCCTGTTTAACTTTTCATCAAAAAGTGGTATTCCAAAAATACAATCGAAAACTACAAAATCGGATAGAGACTCATTCGAATATAACTTGGTTCGATATGCACAAATTTTCCTTAAAATTCATTGTATTTATTGAAATGACATTGCCAATTTTTCTTTCATCCAGATAATCATTGGCAATGAATCATTTAAATATATCCTAAACGAACCTCGGATCCTTACTGATAATTGAATTATTCATTGAAAGAATGGATTCCATATCATTAGACATTTTCTTCAAAAGGAGGACGATGTAACCACAATTCTCTTGCAAACTAAGTTTTTCTGCCAGCAAACAAACTGAAGGATGATCGACGAAATCATCTGAATTTTTTCTGATTTCAAAACAGATGATCTTATTTCACAGATTTTTTTCTTTGAATTTTTACTAAATTTTAAATCGATTAGAGCTATTCCAAAATTTTCAAAATTATATCACATCTAAGTATATTTTTTTGCAAAGTTTCGTCTTATTTCCTTAAACCATATAACTCTAATGCAACCAGTTGAATTAGGTGATAAACAAAAAAAATTTTAATTAAAACCAACTAAGATAAGACCTTAAGTTTGAAGCTTTAAAATGGAAATAAAATAGAAAAAAAATGGAAATGTAATAAATGACAAATATAAACGCTCAATGAAATTTTTTTGATAATATTCAAAGATCATTAATGATTGAATATTTAGCGAGAAATTGATTTAAATTCAAAATCAGAAAAAAAGCTAAATTAAATGAATATAAACTTTTTTCTCCATCAGGTGAATTTTCAAAGGGGAATGGTACATTCACAATTTCCAAATCATTCGTTGTAACGCTATATTCCTAAAATAAGACCAAAGCTAGACCAATCAATAATATAAACAAATATATCTATATATATATATATATATATATATAGATAGATATATATGTAAATATATATGTAAATGAAACAAATTATTTCAAAATTTTTTATATGATTAGTCAACTTATATAAGCTTCAAGGCCTTGGAACAATTCAAAATAATTATTGACCTCACAAAACTTCGAAATCAGACCTGAAGGAAAACAGCATGGGTTTTTAATGTATCATTAAGTGGAACCAAACAATTGTATGAAGATACGATTATAGGATCATGAGCGGACGTCGTCAACAATAACCGTCGAGATTTCCAGAATGATCTAGGCAACTCCGTTATTCGCCTTCCCTTTGGAATATACATCGATATTGGCCCATCACTGAGGATATTATACAAATAAAGGCGAAACCAACATGAAGCTACCTGCAAGAAAGTTAAAAAGTGATTGCAAATAAATAAAGTACGCATTTTATCAGATGTTATTAAAAAACCTCGGGAACTGCAGGTCCAAAATGAGCAACAGATGGTAACGAAAGAGGACATGCTTCACTGTTCATCGGTGCCATTGATACAACGAATCTATAAGATGAATAGATAATAAATATGATTATAGTATAGCACAATTTAAAGAATATTTAATAATAGTAATATTAACTGAAAAGGAAATAATTAATCTAAATGAGGAAAATATTAGGAAATAACAAATAATCACCTATAAGCACGATTAATAAGGCGTAATCGAGTGGCGTGATCCAGTGATAACAAGCTTTCACCTCTAATCAAATCAAGTTCATTTTTATCGCGAAGAGAGCGAATTGTTAACAAAAGAGTTTGAGCATGCTGTGAATATCTTTGTGCCTCTCCTTCCACAAAATGATTTATCTGAATAAAACTGTCCAGAAAATTTGTGAAACCAATAAAAAATAATGACTTCACAAAAAAAAGAATTTGGTAACTAATAATCTATTGTTCAAAAATGTGATATATAATGAGAAAATAAAACATTAAATAAGCAGTAAAAAAATAATATAATAATATAATAAAAATAATATAATAATAAAAATAATAATAAAAATAAATTCAAAACTAAAACTTAAATTTTTTTAATGATGGAAAAATTATGATTAAAGCACAAAGAAAGAATATTATCTCTTACATTCTGAAGTTCATCCGTAAAATTTTCCAGCGATTCATCGCTTAATTTACCAACTTCAAAAAGTGTAACAGCATGGTTTTTTAGCGACTAAAATCTGATAAGACTTGGACAAACATTACTTTTGACAATTTAAAAGATTAAAAAGGCTATAAGTTATAAAATGAAACATCTTTAAGGATGGAGCTTCAGTGGTTGTAGTAGCTCATATTTCGATGAGCAGAGGTTATACTCCAAGTAGGAAAAATCTAAAAATCTACCTTTTAAAAATGCAGTTGGTTACCATTATCATCCTCAATTTTTGTCACCAACACAATCCGACAAGCTAGTTTAACCAAATTTCTAATATAATAGATAAAGCACAAAGAAATGCAAATATGATTAGGATAGCCAGATAATTACAAAGAATAGGCATATGAATTAATGGGAATAAATAATTTTCATTTAATTCTTCTACCATATGTGTATGTGGAAAATGTCGAAAATATATCTGATTGAAAAAATATTAAAAACTGATCAAACCATATAAAAAAAATAACATACTGGAGACAGATTTCCCATCATCAGAAAAGCAGTTAAGGACGAATCAAAAAAAAATGCAATACGCTTTGACCCATCCGAAGTGGCAGCTGGAGTTGGAATAACTGCTGAAGAATTAGAGACCTGAAAATATTAAATGATAGGTTATTTTATTCAGGTTCGCAAACTCGCAAACTTAATCTCATAGGACATACGGGTGAAATATTGGAAGGTAAATCAACAGAATTAGCACTTTCAACTGGGTTGAAATCAGCATCATCATCATCTTCCACAACACCTGAATTCACAAATGATGTGGACAATTCTGAAAGTTCAGTGGTTATCGTAGTTGTCGAAGTATCTTCCAATCCAGCTCTAAAAACCAGACAAAACAAGATAAATGATATATAATTCGAACTAAAAAAAATTTCATGCCGAATAATGAATAAATATGCAAAAAATAAAGAACCAACTCAGTAACAACCATGTAACTCGCCCAAGTTGAGTGTAATGCAAGATTTTCTAAACCTGTCACTCGTTTTTTAGCAAATCCTAATCTACAAAACACAGAAACAGCATTTTTTACCAGTTGTAAATCGATATTAAGCGTTTCGGAAAGCTGCAAAAAAAAAAAATATTCATGGATTTCTATTAGAATATAATTAAGAAAATTTTGCGAGAAAACATTTGTTTCAAAAATTTTAATAATTTTAATAATTTTAATAATTTGAGACGGCGAAAATATACTTCAGCAACAGTAGACTGTTCATCAATTGCCACAAAGATTTGATAAAGCAGATTTTCAAAATAATCACCAATTACTCGATTCATTACGAAGCCATCCAACGTTGGCACTTAAATTATCATAACAAGAATATTAACGATGAATTGAAATTAAGTTGACAACTTATAAATTTATTAACAAAGATATTTATGGCAAGATAATGAAAAAATAATAGAAAAAATAAGAAAAAAAATTACAAAATATTGCTGAAATTAAAAATTGTAAATTGAAAGTTAATTTGAAGAATTTTCTAAAGAAAGCATTCTTATGGCTTAAATGACTTAAAAATAATTCATCGTTTTAAATAATTTAACGGAAATATTAAAAAGCGTTTCATGTAATTATGATAAAATATTGGCCATTGTAATACGATGAAAGTAACATTAAAGTGCAAACAAAGAAAAAAAAATTACCGAAAATGTAATCGCTATCTTTTATTGGAACATCGAGATAAGCAAGACCACGATGATATAACTTTTGCACAAGATTCGCATCAAGAGTAGCGACCAATTGCGGTCCTTCATCGAGTAACATATCCAAAATATCCTTTTCATCTTTTGATAAAAACTAAAATTTAAAGAAATTTATATAAATATATAAAATGAATCAAATTTTCTCATAAAAATTTAAAAATGAAAAGAAATTACCTTACCTTGATGTCACTTTCAAGAACACTTCCAGGACAAAGAATCCACCACGGCTCGATTGATATTGTTACCGGTTTCATTGGTAACATTTCCCTAAGTGATTTTGACTTTCTAAATATTTTTCGGGTACCACGACTCTGATTCATCAATTCGATATATTGATTCCTTCCGATACCCAACAGGCGCATAGCATCAGCTGCAGCAAAATTTGGCAGAGAATCATAACTTCTTTCAGCGTTGATTAAATCCTACAAGAAAAATTAGCACAAAAATTAACGAAATATTTTTGTAAAAATAAAGCACAATTAAAAGTCGATGATTAAAATATTAAATCAACATCAAAATATATATATATATATAAATATGATATAAAATATCATATGTATATAAAATAAATAATAAAAAAATTATACCATGATAATATTGATATAATAGTTGAAAGGAGTCATTCGGAGTTCACGTACAACGATATCAGATAAATGATAAGGATAAAGCATTAAATGAGTCTCGCTGTATTTCAGTAAAATATCATAATACATTTCTTCACTCTTTTTAACATAACGTACTGAAAAAAATTGGATTTTAAAAACTGAACAACATTATCATTATTATCCAAGAACTAAAGCAACGAATCGAAATTTATTTATTTATATAAATTTATTTATACTTTAATTTCGTTACATTATTGTATATTTATGTTAAATACAAGTCGATTAAAAAAATATTCACTATAAACCCTTAAGCGAACAATTTTACCAGTACTGCATCAAATGAGTCGGAAAAATTCAGACTCGCATCCTATCAGGATTCCTGTTTATTATTCTCTACCACCATTAAGGACGGGTTTTCTAAATAATTTATCTATCTACGAGCATTTTTCCACTTTCTCTTCAGCACGATTTCAACGATTTTGCCAAATATTTTTTCGTAAAATGAACAATATAACAATGATAGTAATGAAAAACAAACTTTTGGAACTATTATGACAAATAAAAATTGCACCTGGATAATGCTTACATGTGATGGTAATTAGAAATTAATGAATCATAAATGTTTTACTTTTCTTTAATATCAGCGCACAATGCATTTAATCCTGCAGGGTTATTTTAGAGTTTTTTTTTTAGGAATCCTCACCGTTACTGGTTAAACTCGCTCCGCTGGCTTGTCGCATTGGACAAATATGTCAGGAAATCTCTTGGCGATAGAAATACAGGTGAGCCACCATCACTCGATGTTATTTAAATAAATAGCTACTAACCGATATTGCCTTTGTAACGAAGTTGATTCTTAATCGAGTATTCAAGAATAAGTTTATCATATTCCCTTTGCGAGTTTCCCAAAACGATTCGTATATCTTCGGGCAATTTCGCCCATACAACATTCATTTGAATATGCTGTTCCACATCTTTATCCGACATCCGACCTAAAAACCATAGACTTCACCTACGTTGCTATGTAAATTTCCCAAATAACTAAATTAGATAGAACACCTTGACGATAATCGGTTTTTTCTCCTCTTCCTTTAGCTCTTCACGGACCGATATATAAGTCCGATCGCTTTTAAAAACTTGCAGTAAAACTCAGGACCATTTCACCATATATTATCCGCACTAAACTCCCAAATTTGACCAAAAAGATACGAAACAACAAGCTACATCTAATAAAAAAAAAGATACAATGATGTAAGAAAATTAACAAAAATTCATCTTTCATCTGTTAAGAACTTTTTTCAACAAGAATTTATTTTAGAAATAATAGGCCTTTACACTATCAATAAAGAAATAAATATTAGAAATTCCATAAAGCAGTAGTTGTACAATGAGGCATAAACATAAAATAAATTAAACCCGTATAAATTAAATAAATTTGAACTAAGTAGTTAATTAATAACAAAATTATTATAATTTCTCTAAAACTTCAGCACTGGCTATTTGCAGTTAATATGACAATATCGCAACCGCAAATTTATATACTTCCTCTATAGCATGTAATGGTTCGAGCAAAAAAGCAAAGGGCCACTGTTCAAACAGGCTGAAGCTATTTAAGTCCATTTTTCATGCATTTATAACTCCTATTTGCTGATAGCTATGTAAATTTACCTCATAAATTCAATTCACAGATTCACTGCTTGCTTTTCGAACGACAGTGCTAAGTTTTTGTAAATTTACATTCATAATTATTTACACCACACCAAGATTTGGATAAAAAGAATCACATCCATGTGTTTTTTTACAGTGAAGATCAAGACGATCACGACGCCAGAATTTTGCGAGACATCCAGCTACTGGACAAGATATTGGTTTCATTTTCAGGTGTTGACGAAACACATGTGCATCCATATTTTTCTTATCCGCATAAGTTGTTCCACACTTTTTACAAGTATAAGGCTTTTCACCTGAAGATAAAGACATTTTCTAGCATAAAATGAAAATTTTTCGAATTTCAGATGCTTAGAGTTTTAAATTTAATGCGAAAATTATCAACCTTTCAAGTTATTATTAACCTGAAAATGAAAAAAAAACAAAAAATACCAGTATGCGCACGAATGTGACGAACCAGATTACTTTGCACTTTGAATCCTTGATTGCAATAGGGGCACTTATACGGAGTTTCAAGAGTATGTTTACATCTGATGTGCTTGTCAACAGCACTTTTTTCTTTCGTTCTGTGATCACAGAAAGGACATTTGAATGGCTTTTCCATCATAACCTATGATATACATAATATAACGAGAACACAATAAAAAACTAATTATTATAATGCAAAATGAAAATATGAATGATGAAATAAAGATGAGGACCGCATCAATTTCATGAATTTTCATGAAAAATAAAACAAGCCAAATTCACCAAACTCTTATTTTCCACATTCAGACTAATAAACTTTGGTTTAAATTTTGGAAATATTTGAAATTAATTGACTTGACTTGACTAAGTGAAACTTTCAGTGAAAATAAGTACTTACTTGTTGGTCGCCTACAAGTAAAGGCACTGTGATTTCTTTTGATCCCAAAATTTCTGGTAAACCATAACCAAAACTATCAAACATTCGATATCTTTTACCCGAAGGTGTGAATGATAATGTTACAGCAGGAGTCAAATCTCCTTTTACTGAATTATTGAGCCCATTGACACTTAAAGGTTCTGTTTTGACACCACATACATCTGATTCTAAAAAACAATTCAAATTCTACCAAATCTGAGTTTAATTTCGAATAAAAATAGTTCAAATAATTGAAATACATTAAAAATAACCGCTACACATTTTCATTCTTTTGAGAATAACCTATATTGGAAAAAGCAATAACCTATATTGGAAAAAAATTCTTTGGATCCTTTGATCCGCATGGACTCTTGAGTTGAACCATAAGAACCTCCCTTTCTACCACGACGGGGCCCTGAGACAAATGCACTATATATATCAGAGTATGAAGTGAATTCTCCTTCTTGAAGTCCTTGTTCTCCATTCTGATTTCCTCGAAGCAATTCTTTTTCGGGAAGTGTTGCTACTAAAAGGCATATTCATGAAAAAATTTACCCAGTGTTTTGAAAAGAGTCGGTAGTTGCTGGTTAGAATATTTTAACAAGAATTTTGTTTATCTCCTGCTCCCCGCAACAGTAATTTTGTTATAAAAAAATTTTGGTAAGGCTATCAACTTACCCGATTTTTATCCTCAAATTTTATTGAGCGACTTTAGCAAAACTCACTAGAGCCAATGGGGAAATTTAACTAGAAACAATGAGTGCTAACCATTTACTTATTTTTCTGAATGATTTTAAAAATGAGTAAACTAGTAAAAACTTACGGTACTGCATTTGCACAAACCACTGAAGTCTTTCACAAAGTGCTTCATCACTTTCGGATTGATTAATTCCTACAGCATTATCAACTGATTCTTTATCAGTTACTGACAATTGTTCATTATCGTAGTCTAACAAATATAAAATACAATATTCGAACATTAAAAAAATAATGAAAATGTTCAAAAATGACGCAGAAATTTGTTTCCTCTTTATAATAAAGAAAAAGATAATAAAATATGAATTTTCTATTTGACCTAAAATAAACTTTACCTTCGACTCTCGATAAATTATCTTCTACTCCAAGTTCATAATCAATCGCCTCTACTAAAGAGAATACTTCTAGTGCCAAAGCCGACTGCCGAAGCACACGACAACGTTTTATCGTTGTTCTAATGCAACCAGTATACATAAAATCGATGATATTACGCAAATCAGTACTGAAAAATAGACTAAAATTAAAAATTTTTATTTGCATTAATTAATTAATCACGAAAAATTTAACATATGTTTAATAATTTAAATTTGCATACTTTTCTCCAAATTTAGATAATTTAGATAAATTTGATAATTAATGCGAAATCACCTGCTTATTCCTGTATCAACGGGGTCGATATTTATATTCATAATCCCATTGTGATTTACATTTTTGAGAACCATTTCAAAGTGTTCACTATATGCACAAAGAATTAATCGATGACACTGAGCTACAGGTGTATTCTAAAAAGAGCAAACAGATGAATTTATTTCGATCGACATATTTCGAATTTCTTTCAAGCCTCATATGTATAATAGAATGTTCACAGGATCTAATACAATAAAGTACTCCTTCTCAAAAATTAAATAAATTAAAAAATCAGTAAATTAAAATAATTTTAAAATCTATCAGATAAAAAATCTTAACCTGATAATTTACAATACAATCGGTAAATTTCGAGTTATACTTATAAAAACGAAAGGCAGCTTGTAATAATTGATGTGAATGAAGCGAGTCTTCTAAAACACAGTCCGGATATGACCTTGCTTCCTCACTTTCCAGTAAATGGACTAATGAATGGCATCCCAAATCACGAACTGATTTAACAGTAAGTCGACTGGGTCGTTTAAATCGACCCGTGTACATGAAAATTATTATTTCCAACAAACTGTCCTTTTGTACATCTAAAAATGAATGAATTAAAATCAGAAGAGAGAAAGTGTAACGATAATGATAAAATATGAAACGATAAAATCCATTAATCCACCCACAGAAACCAAAAAGCAATACCAATAATATCTGGATCTATATCCAACGTGACTGGCTTTGAATTCTGAACTGCGATTAATGCAGCTTCGAAATGGGTACTATAAGCAGCAAGCACCAATTTATGAGCCGATGTGACAAACTTTCCACCGCATCGAATGACAACATCCACAGATTGTTCCATATGAAAAATGTTAACAAATTAGAAGCTCTAAATTCGTGGAAAATTAATTTCATTATTAAAATTTTATTCAATATATAATAATTATTCAAAATTTTTGACTTAGACATATGAATTTTCATTATAAAATTTTTTATGCAAGAAATTTACATATCTAATAAATCTGATTCAAATTTACAAATTTGAGAAAGAAAATCAGTGAATTGAAAAAGATTAATAGAACCAATGATAAAAAAAAAAGAACAAAATTTAGTAAAAATTTTAAAAAAAAATAAGAAAACATACTTCAAAAAGTTTTCGCATATATGTTAGAAGTATGTCTGCATGAATGCGCAATCGTTCATAGTGCATATTTGCAGGAATATGATCCTCATCCATTTAAAATAAACGCCTGAAAATAAATCGAAATAAAATAGAAAAAAACCAACGAATTATTTATTATTCAGAACAGCAAATCTTTAAACGAACAAAAATAGCATTTCAAGAATCAATAATGATAAAAATTAGAAAAAAAATAAAAATGGATGGAATGAAATTTTTATCCCAAAAATAATCGTTCTTTTCTCAGGAAATTTCAGGAAATTTTATCGAAAAATATTTCAGCGCTCGTATTTTCTTAAAAATAAACATAAAAAAATAATTGGAATTCTTAAAGAAAACAAAAAAAAACTAAAAATCAAAATTTCTGACGAAAAAAACGAGAAAAATGAAATTCGTTGCATTTTAACTTAATTTATTTAATATATTTATTTCTTATGATATTTTTTAAATTTTTTAAAAAATTTCCCGGAAAATTTTCCTTTTGTCAATCAAAATAGAATATCCATGAAAGATATCCATTCTAATTTGTTAAATTCTTTTGTTTAAAACTCCTTAAAGTTTCCGAGAGAAAACAGATAGGCAGATTTAAATTTAGAGAATACGGAGATTCAAGAGATTCACCAGCCTCAGTATTTCTAAAGAAAAAAAGGATGAAAAATTTAAAGAAATAATTAAATAATAATAATTTATTAAAAACTTAATAAATTAGGATGGATATCCCACAAATGGAAAATGCTTGATTTGGATTTCGGGTTGACCTACTTCTTCAGGCCGAGTGAAATGATCTGCACACGCAAGCGACTCCTATTTCCCCTCTCCTTTCCCCACTAATGAACGACATAAATCACTCCAAGAAAAAGCAACCCCTCAAACAGTCCAAAAAAATTCCCCACTTGCTGTAATCAATAAATTGGCAGCCTGCCAGAAAGCGATTAATATGCGACAACATTCTCGATTTTTAATTCTCGGACTAGAAATTTGCTTATCATTTTAGTACTTCTCGTAAGATATTCTTCTTACAACTATTATCATTGTTGCTGATTAGGGTGCTTTAGCTGATAAGAAAGTGATAAGGCGTCTGCAAATTGTTCGATTCGGTGCCTATTGTCGACAATAGTAGGAGCCATTTTTTTTTCCATCGTCCAAGTCCATATATAGCTCGTCCTCATATATTTTCCGAATTATATCGGCAGTCTTAATTGGTCTTTCTCGCTTCTGACGCCATTCATCACAGGGTTTAGCATATAGCGCAGTGTGCGTCAACTCTTGTGATAGGCGACGAAGGACGTATCCTAACTAGCGAAGACAGAGCCCCGTGATGGTACTGCTAATGCAGGTGGTATTTGAGCGAAGATGGATGCAGCAGTCATATGAAATTTTATCAGCTCAGTGAATCCGTGTACATGAGTGGTCGAAGGAAGATAACTTCCTTAATATCCCATCACTCTCCGAATATCATTCTCATAGGCCATGTCTTACAGCCATATGGCAAGATCGAGCAAATCTTGGCCATTAAACACGGACTCATCGCAGACAGAAGTCTGTAGAATGATGATCTAGATGATCGAAATAATGCAGAATTTTCCTTTAAGGAGAGCATAAACCATATGATCTCACCGGTCTCCAGTTAATTAAAGCGGAGTGGGCCTTTTTCAGATATGACAATCGCTATGCCATTTCGTTCCGAGTCACCGGTTATCTAATATTACACCAGCTATTTGAGTGATAATTTGGGAAGTACTTTTTCTTCGTTTTCTTAATTTGACCTGACTTAACTTCAAATATGGAAATTTATTTTTGACTATAAAAACTTTACATTTTATCGCTTTTATTAGTTTGCATTCCATTTCACACATTTGCTACTTTTTCATTCTTATCACTCTAAATAATCATTAATCATTCTTATTTCATTAATCCTATTTTGTATATAATTTTTTTCTTCTAAAAATCCACCATTCTCGCTGTGTTAATTTTGTCAAACCACCACCAGAAATTTAAATTTGCCAGAAAAAAATCGTCAAAGGAAATTATCAAATAAATCTGACATTCCATTTATTCATTTAAATGAAGTCGGATATTTTTACCATTTTTGTAGAAAAAAAATCCATTTTTCATAAAAAATATATATATGTATATACATAAATATTTATGGAATAATTATAGGAAGACGAAACAAAGAATAAAAATATTATGCATACCTACGAAAACAAAATAAAAAAATTTAAGTCAAACCATATCAGTGATACTAATATAAAGAGAAAACAGACAAAATAAGACATAATAACAGAAACGATATTTTTAAAATGAAAAAATTACAAACGAAAGAAAGAACGAGTATTTTTGCGGGCAATTTTGATATGTAACCCACCTGTATGTTATTTTCATCATTTTCTCATTTTCCTCCATTCCATCACTTATATTTCCTTCCATTCTTCTATTCATATAAATGAAAAATAATAATGAATATTAGGAATATTAGAAATTTTTTCTTTCGTTTAAAATTTTTAAAATATTGATAAAAGAAGTGATAAAAGTGATAAAATGATAGTCATATAAATATTTATTAGCAATCATAAGATTGCATCTTTTGAAAACGCTTATACGCTTATTATCCTTCAAATTCGAGATTAAATGAATAAAATTTGTCGAAATGATCAAAAGCGCGTTGGCAATTAGACGAAATGCTGATCATTAATTAAATAACAATAAAATAGAACAAATAACAAATAACAATAGCATAGTATAACATAGTTTTTCACCGAATAATAAATTTAAGAATTTGATTTTCACCGAAAAATTACCTAAAAAAATTTGATTGACATTTATAACAACGAATATTTGCTCTAAATAAGAATAAAGAAAATTATTCGCTCAAATCTGCAACGTAATGGAAGATTGCAAAATGTCCACTGCTAATTGCGATTTATTCATTCTAGTTTAATTAATATTAAAATCAAAATGGGAAAAAAACGTTGCACCAAAGTGTCAAATATTTTTCCACATATGAATGAAAAATTCAAGAAATTCTAAAACCATGAATACACTGGAAATCAACTCAATATGACGCTGATTGATACTTAAGCACAAAAAAAAAATACCCAATCGATTCTAAAAATTTTCTTTTCAATTATATACATAAAAAGAAAGCAGCAATACATAATAATAATCTGTCAAATAATAATTTAATGGGACATTAAAAAAGATTCATAAGTTGTAAAGAAATTGATAGAAAGAATATTATGCATTGATCAAACATATTATGGAAGAGAGATGAGTAAAATATTTAAAAATTAGACAAAGAAAAGATCAGATCATGAAAACAATACAAAATGACCAGTAAATTTCAATCAAAATAGTAAAAAACTGGCAATAAAAGAATTTTCAATAGTATGGTTCCATTCCTGATTTCAATGTGCCGACAAAAATTATAATCTACCAAAATAAAAATGTATACCAAAATATCTACCAAAATATGTAAATACAAAATTAATGGGTTCCATACCTTCCTAACAGCACCAGCATAATTGATCCTGAGCTGAAACAAATTGCGTAAAACTGACTGAAATTTTAAAAATATTGATATATCTCTAAAAATCATTCAGAGAAATGATGAAAAAATCGGATATCATGAATAATTTTCTATGTCCACTTGTCCGTTTTTCTGGGCCTCTTCAATGGTTTTTGAAAAAGGCCCTGACAAACCACGCGCACTCCGTTCTTCGCTGATTCGTTGAAAACATGCATTTATATATAAAGACTGAAATAATAAATATAAGATATTATATTATTAAAAATATTTTCGCATTTATATATATTGAATTATTGCAAAAAAGTTTTTGAAATTATTTTACAAATTCTCAAAAATTCTGCAAAAATATATATTATATTTTACAAAAAACAATAAGCAAAGATAAATTACAAAAAAATATTAAATTAATTGATTCTGAACTTTTGAACTAACTGATTTTAAAAGGAAATTGCAAGAAAAGAAATGACAAAAAGATTAGCAAAGTAATTAAAAATCAGAATAATGAAATAAATTTCGTTTAGAATGGGTAAATAAAAAAACTTACAAATGGAGTAGTAAATGTTAACCATTTTGACTTTTTAGTTGGCCTAGTATATTCGAAAACAAAAGAGTTCCCTTCATCAGAAACACTGAATTCTATTACACTGTTCCAATCAATTACCATTTTATCTTCCTTAAATACAACGAATTTTTAAAATGAATAATAAATATTTAAATTCATAAACTTATCCTAATAAAATTCGATAAAATCAAATTCGATTAAAAAATGGGAAAAAATTAAAAGTACATAAATATGAAGTGGTTTTATATATTAAAATTAAATATAATTTTAAAAATCATTTAACCATAAAATATTTTGAATCTATCAATATCGAATTTGTCAGAAGCTCTTATATATTAAAGCTGTTTAAAAATAAAATATATTTGGACACACAAAATCTATTGCGCCCATTTTTTGGAATTTTTGAATTTTTTTAAATGAAAAAAATTTAATGGAAAAAGAAATTAAGTATTCTTTTCAAAAATTTTACAGCAATGGATTTAAATAATCAATGGTTTTTTAACATCGTTAATTTCCAGTTAAATGAATCGTGCTAAAACTAAAAAGAAATAAGAAATCACTGAAAAAAAAAAGAAAAACAACCTCCAAATTGCCTTCACTGTCGCATGCTCTTATTAGTAACTGAAGCAAAGAGACTAATAATATTACACTGCCATTTTTACGACCATCGCATATACAATGTGGAAATGTAATTTGATTATAGCCTTCCAACATCCTTGCTATTTTCAGATACTTAAATTTTCTAGCTTAAGACTGTCAAACAATAAATAAAAAGCACAATCTCAAAAAAATGAAAATCAAAAAGCAAAAAAAAATAAACCTCATGCGAGCGATCTATTGACTGGAGTGCTTTTAAATGATAAAGGCGTTCTCTTGCATGAATTAAGCCACTATTTACATCTGAAACTGCTTGCCAAAAACAAAATTGATTGAATAAATCATTCCTGAAAAGGAAATATGAATATAAATATAATATAAAGCTTTAAAAAAACCATCAATATTGCTTAAGATTATAAAAATATGAAAATACATTAATACAGTAGCAATAAAAAAGAAATTAAAAAATTTTGTTAGCGATTGTCGTTTCAACAAATTACTCCTGATTTATATGAATTATTTTCTCAACTTATACAGTTCAGTGCTATATCTTAAATTGTTAAATTTTTAAAATTTTTTATAAACAATAAACTAAAATAAATTACATATTAAATCAATTAATTATATGAATATATATTATAAGAAAAAAATATATATGGTGGGTGGCTATAAATCTGCCAGAAAGAAGGCGAGTGGGGTTTGGTGAGTGTAAAAAACCACTATCTTGAACGAAACATTCAGAAATATATCACCGAGATAGCACCAACTGGTAAGAGAATGCCTGAAGCATACATTGTACAAACATTGGAAAAAGATCAAGAAAAGGAAATACCATGGCAAAGTTCTCTAAGGTTCTCTATGGATTGTACCATCGACAGATAGCTGAAATAGCCATCCTACCAGTGGCTGCAGAAAGCCGAAAAGCAGTCATTGATAGCAGCGCAGGAGCAAGCATTAAACATCAGATATACTGAAACAATGATCTACCACTCTACATGACTCTAGAAGCAAACTGGGCAAAAACGCCTCAGAAACAACCCAACAGGATGGGCAGGATGCAAGCAGAAACAACATATACTGAAAGGTAACCAAAGAGCTGGTATTATCTACAGGAATATTGGCTTGGATCCTGTAATATTAAATAAGAGATTCCTTAGAAAAATAGTAGAGGAGAAAATCCTGTAGAATTTTCTCATCCAGACATATAAATAAATACTGGTCAATCAACCAGATGGTGGTAACAGACAAGAATCAGAAATCAGCACTGGTGACAGATAATATCAAGCGACAACAACGTCAGAAGGAATATGAGAAATTAGAGAATTAAAAGCTAATAGAGGAACTAGATCTTGAATGAAAAGGCCAAAGTAATTCCAGTGATAAATGGAGCACTTGAAATTAAAATGAAGAAAAATGATTTCACAAATTCCAGAAACAACATCGAAAATATCTCAAGAACAGCGCAGCTAAGAGACAGAAGGGATCTATTAGGAAGTTAAAATCCTTGAAATACTCTCTGAGAAGACGGTCTTTGCGCCGAACTCTTCAAAGGTTGTCCATCATCATTCATAATTCATCAACAACATATACTCTCTGGTATAGCAAAAGGAAACAATACCAGAAGACTGGTTTCTTTCATCCCTGATGAATAGATTTGGGGCAGTATAAAACAACAGGATACACCCTAACCAAGCTGGATTCGATCGGGATACTATTGTGCTAACCAGATATCCACGCAAAAAAAGAGTGTTAGAAGTGTTAGAATCGCTTCAAGTAGCGGCAACCCACCATCACTTGCTATATCGATTCTGTAGTTGCCTTCGATTCAAGTGATAGAGCAGTACTTTGGAAGGTGATGGATATGAATGGTGTTCGAGAAAAAATCAATTGCATCATAAAAGAATTTTGTCAGCTTATATCGATATAAGGGAAACTGATGGACCATTTCGAAATAAAAAAGATCCGTCTATCAAGGCTGCGTGCATTCTTCTACAACCGAGTGATAGACTGGATAATTGGCATCGCTTGTCCGCCTCAAAAGGAGTACAAGTCCCGAGCATAGTATCAAAGATCTTGATTACGCTATATTCCTTTTTACTGACAGTTATCTAAACAATATATCAACAACTGTAGGGAGAACTGGGTTCATGATCAATCTATATCAATCTATATATACCGAGAAATTCTTATGGAGCTATCGCGATCAAGTTGCAGTTTGCTCGATCTTGTTATATGGCTATGATTGGAGGATATTAATACGTTACCTTCCTTTAACTACTAATCTCTATGATGCATTTTACGATCCTTTCCAACGGATAAAATCTCACATAATGCATCCATCTTCGCTCAAATACCACTTGCATTAATAGCACAATTATGATACGTTCTCTTTTTTGGTAAGGGAATGTTACCCGCCACAGGAATTGATATTCCATTACTGCTAAATCCTGTGACGAATGACGTGAAAAGCGAAGTGGGCCAATCAAGACCCGAACTGATAAAAGAGATAGAAGAGGAAGATTACTGTAGTAATACTTAAATGAATCGAAATATCAAAACGAATAATTACAAAAAAATAATATTAGAAAATAAAATTAAAAATTGTGATATAAATTGAAAATAACTATAACTAACTTTTCACAAAGTGCAATTTCTCGGTCTATATCGAAAATCCACTTACGAATAAGAATACAAGAAGAAGCAGCAGAAGAATAATTTTGGATGTACAGTGCATGTGGGCATTCATTATCATCAATTTTTCTTTCTCAAATTTTGAAAAAACATAAGTAATAATGATAAAAAATAACAATAAATAATAATAAACAACAACAAATGAATATAAATAATAATGGATAATATTTAACAACAAATAACAATAATAAATAATAATGAAAATTATTTTTCATTACTATAACTAATTTGAATTTTTATTAATTGATTAATTCTTTATTAAATTTTTGATTTATTCATCAAAAAATAAACTTCAAATAATAAAATTTTTCAAATTTATTCCAAAATCCGTTCACCAGAAAAATAAGGGACGAGCAACTTTTTTCAATTTTTAAAAATAAAAATTACCAAAATTACTGTCACTCATTTCAAATAATGCGTAGCACTCAGCCATTTCATTTGTCATGTTCAACCGCTTTACCACCAGCTGAGAATTTTCAAATTTATCACCAATAGATTAATATATATGCAATGACCACGCTATTTCCACAACAAAAAATTTGCATTATTGCATAACTTATAATCATCAAATTCAATCCAAACCTAAATCCAAATTGACCAATGGCAGTTATAGAAAAATCAAGCAATTCATACCGAATAAAGTTGCTTGCATGTGCAGTGACGTTTTATATTCAAGAGAAGAGAACTGTTGTCGGGGAGCAAAACGCGAATATGTACATCAGCTACAGAACAATCCGAAGACGAATCCTCCATTAGAAATTCCTGAAATCAATAGGTGATCAAATAAATAGAAAAAAGTATTTTAGCCATTTCAAAAATTATTGATAATACAAGTTTCTTGATTAAATCACCAGTGATATATAATTATTTACTTGAATTATTCCAGAATCTGCAATCACACGCACAGCGCACACTTTTTCCAAATACATTTCCAGCCCGCGTCGACGAGAATCAAGTTGCTGTTCAGAAAGTGAAAACGGCCATTTTCTTGGTAATTTTGGTAAATCAAAATCAGCAAATTCTCGTTTAAGTAATGAATGCAAATGAGCAAATTCACTATATCGACGAGATCCAAGATGGCGACCAGCCATATGTATATTGTAAGCCTGAAAAATTGAAAAGTGAATAACCTTATAATTTTCCAGACAACTATTTCAAATTCTTAATCATTAAAAAAGAATTATTCCTAGATAGTCTTGATTTTTTAAAATAATTAAAATAAAAGTTTTGATTTTTTAAAATAATTAAAATAAACCGGTAGATGATGTTTTAACCGGTAATAAAATAAAAAGTACCACAAATCGTTCGCCATTAGCTCTAACAGTTTGGTAACTTGGTATTGTAATCGGTAATGAGCGTTTTTCTGAGTAGTCATATCTACAATACATATAAATTTTGTATATCTGATCAACTAGCATAATTATTATACCAAAAAATTATAAAATACCTGTAGCTTGATCCAGTTTCTTCAATGAGACCGCCTTCAAAACGTTCTGCATCAAGAGCATTTACTGATATGACGACAAGGGATAGTTTGTCGCCACCCTCTTTAATTAGTTCAACGACCTGCTTATGAGTAGCTCCTTCTACATTAACACCATTTCTGAAATTTATCAAAAAATGGATTAGTCATCAAAAAAAAACTCGAAAAAAAGCGAACTGAATAAAAAAATTAAAAAAATAGAGATAAATATCGTTCATACTAACACTTGTAAAATACGATCTCCCTTCAAAATACCCGCTTTTTCAGCAGCACCACCACGCTGAACTGCACTTACATGTTGCAGAGGTGCATACAATTCGCCATTAATACTTCGCAATTGACCACCTTCACTTACTTGACCTTTCACATTAAAACCAAAGCCTTTAAAATATTATAATTTTATAAAAAATGCTGCTGCACTAATAAAATCAAATCTAAACCAAATGAAATACCAAATGAAATAAATTAAATGAATGAATTAACAAATGAATAAAATAGCCGAGTTGCTTAGGCTTTTATCTCAATCATAAAGATGCGACCAAGAGCAAATTAATCTATCATTTAAAATTCGGGTGATACTAGGATCGGCACGAACTCGCAATTCAAAGCGACTATCCGACAAATATTTCTAACCAGTGGGATGAAATATAATTTACTTACCAGCTTCAGATTTAACGATGACAACAAGATGAGGATTGGGATTATAATTACGATATCTTATCGGTGTACTGCACTCTTCACTCGAATCACTTTCATCACCCATTTCATCAATTCATTCAAAAGATACCTTTGAACTGCAAAATAATTAAATAAGTGCTTTAAAAAAATAGCGTCGATTAAGCGAACGAAAACGCATTAAAACTTTAAAATTTCCAAGAAGAAAAAAGTTGAAATTTAGATATTTTCAATGGAAATAAAGCAAAAATCTTCTGCAAAACAGCAAAAAAAAAATTTTTAAAAATCTCTTTGAATAAAAATAATTATGCAATTTTATTCGATTATTTATTCCTATTTCACTCTATTAAATTATTCCACAAAATCAAATTTAGTAAAAAGAAATGAAGAAAAATAAAGAAAAATAGAAGAATATGGAAGGAAGAAATGCGGTCGTCATTTCTGGCTAAGTTAACTCCGCTCCGCTTTCAGCATGGTTGATAAGAGGCTTAGGAGGCTTATTTGGCGAGAGAAGTCAGTCGCTATCACTAGATTTTTTTGGTGATAAGCTTACTCGTTTCAAGCACCAGCGCAAGGGTCTTCACTTGCTTCACTTCACTTCTCTCACTCAACAAGGATATCCAATAATATCCGTTAACCATTCGTATGTGCTATTCCTCAATTGAATTAATAATAAATCTGTTATAATTATTTATAATAATAATAATAATAAATAATTAGCTTATATATTATATTTCTAAAATAAAAACTTCGAACTTCTAAAATATCGAAAAACGATGAAAAATTCTAAAAATAAAATATGTTCGCTAACGATTTATTAAGAATTATTATTTGCAACGAATGAAAATTAATCGAATGATTTTTTCATTGATTCGATCAATGATAATATCATGAAAATAAAAAATTGCTAGGACGAGAATTATTATTCGAAAAAAAATTGCCAGTAAATGATTTACAAATAAATATAAGTAGTCGGTTAGAAGTTAAAAGAAGGATTCGTTCGACGATAGAATTATTAGATAAGTTGAGAACAATCCCAACGATTATTTAGTGATAAATTTATTGATAGCAAATGAGAAATCTGACTAGCAAAACAATAATCATCACCGCTATCACCGCTATCTGTTAACAATTCCTTACAATACTTATGGCTGTGAAAGAATTATAGAGAAGAAATTTCGATAGTTCCAAGTTATAATGCGTATTTTTCGTTGCTATTTTTCGTTTCACGTTGCCGTACCATTTCCTCATTGATAATTAAATTTGACGCTTTTTAACGAAATATAAAGTTTTTTAAAATTTTAAAATATTTATTATTGGCTGAAGACTGATTTGATTTGATTTGATAATTTTATAAGGAAATCGAAAATAAATTCGATGATAAATACGACGATTATACAACAAATAAAAAAAAAAGGATGAATCAATGCAATAAAATAGATGGCAAAAAAAGGAAATTTTATGAGTTTTATGATATGTGAGCGATTTCGAAAAAATAAGAGTTAGAAACCCTCCCCCCAACACCATTACCAAGTACCCCCAACCCCGCCGCTATCCATAAATCATTAAAATTTATTTTCCGACTCCTATCTCACAGAAAGCAGATTTAACGGCCGCGGTAAATAAGCTTATTTTTCACGGTCCTTCCGTTTATTAATTTTTCAGTTCGCCATTTTTCTATTTTCATTCAATTTTTCTCGAATTATTTACCTTAACCTTTGACATTCTACGCTTTCGATTATTGTGGAATGCGGTGATCGTTGTAATTTAAACGAAAAATTTACTAATTAACATATCGTATTTTTTTCAATTTAAAAAAAAAAGGCACTAAAATATTGTTTGGGAAAATTTTAGGAATTATTAAAAACGCAGTAAATATAGCAAAATTGGCAAAAAAGAGAAATAGCGTTTTCACATTCGCAACGGCTTTAAAGAAAATTTTTTCATAAATTTCTCGATAAACGCATAAAAGAAGAATTTTTATTGATTTAGCAATTTTTTTCATTTTTACGAGTCATTTATGATTTAAATTGGTTGAAATTTAGTTTCTTATTAAAATCATTTAATTTAAATCCGAAAACTTTAAAAATTATAAAAAAAATATTCAAGCGCTTCGATAATATAAATATAAATAAAGCCTATCGAGTTAGTTTACACGTTTTTTTCACGTTTTTTTACGACGTTCCAACTGATCACTGCGATCGACTGAGAATCGCCGACTATTACGCAGACTATAAACATATAGAAATACTAAAATAAATGTACGAAATTCCATAATCACATATCTTCTACTGTTAAATATAAATATAAACGTGAACTCGATACGCGGTATACTGTAATATTCGAAAATTGTACTAAAATTGATAATGATTTGATGATAAAAGGATTTTAAAATTATCAATTTTTTAAATCCACAAATAATAATCAACGAAAAATTATTTAAAAAATTATAAAAACAATATGAATTCATAATAAATATCCTTAAAATATATTCATTTACATTCGTATATAAATGCCCATTCATTTTTCTAAATGACTCTCTAACGGAAGAGTACCATTCTAGTGATGAATGGGTTGAGTTAAGCCAAAAATGTCGAGTGCTATTCGAAGAGGATTATTTTGATAACGCATAGAGATAGATTCATCGTATCGTGAAGTGTTTAATTGAATAGCAATAATAAATAAATAACATCGAAGAAAATAGAATTATTGGAAAAATTTTCATATTTTCTAAAGAAAATAATATGAACGATCGATGAGAAATAAATTTCGAATAAAAATTTTATGAAGAAAAGTATACATTATACAAGTATACATCACAATATTTCTACAATTATGATTATAGTGATATAGTGTCTTTCTTTTGACTATAGTTCATTCTTAAAATAATAGCTGATAATGGCTAATAATGGCTGATAATGGCTGATAATGGCTGATAATGGCTGATATGGGTGAAAATAACGACAATTGATATTCGATTCTTATATCAAAGCAAGATTTTATAAAAAATTCTTATTCTTTCAATTTCAGGTTGTTTGAAATGTCATTTTTATCGTTATATGAACAAAAAAGAAAAGCACTAGAAAAACTAAGGCAATTTAAATTAATAGCCGATAACTGTGATCGCGAAGCTACTGGCAAACCGCTACTTGTCGATCGCCGTAAGATATAATCTTTTTAATTTCCAGAAAATTTTATTGAAAATTTGAACAAAATGGGAAGGATTTAAGAGAAAATCCATTGAACAAATATAACACAAATAATATGGTCGAGTTGCTTCGACTTAATTCATTTAAGTCGTAGATTCATTTGTTTTGGCAGAGGTATAGGTTTTGGTATAGCGATCATTGAAATCCGATTGAGGACCAACCTGTATTTCTAACTGACCCTTCTCGGCAAAACGACCTTTAATAGTTAATAGAGGCAGCCAAATCCGAAATGGTAATTGCTAGAAAAGAATGACAAAAGGATATTTTTTCGCATTTTCTCAATATTTCCTTAATTTTTATTAAAACACGATAATTTCATAAAAATTTAGTAAATCGGATTTTAACGTAGAAAATATTGAAATTGAAGAGAAAGAAGAGTTTTCCTTAAAGTTATTGACAAAATTTTAGGGAACACTAATTTTTATATTATCTAAATTATAAAAGAAAAAAGAAATTTCTAAAAACAACCTTTCATTTTTAGAGATAAATCTGATAAAACATCTTGTTCGTGCTTATCAAAAATAATCATAACTAATTTTTTAAAAAAAAACTTCCGCATTTAAGCCTTCAAAATTCTTACTGATTAAAAAAATTTATCGAAAAATGCATATGAATCGATGGAATTTTCCTTAAATGTCTGAACTGAACTGAATATTTGCATCCATTAAATAATCGCCTTTTTTTCCTTCATTGATTGGCGTCCATCACCAATGATTCGATTCTCCGACCTCGAGAAAATTCCATTATTAAAAAAAAAAAGATTATGCCGGTGATCCAGCTTTATTTACCAAGCGCCCTCTCGCAAAAGTCGTACTTATAACAATGGCATTGGCTCAACCAAAAAACCATTTCCTAGGGCGCTAATCATTTCCTTTCTCTCACTTCCACTCCTCTAAAATTCATAAAAATTGTATAGAAAAATAAGAAAAATAAAAAGCACTTTGCAATAAATTATATTGGTCGTACTTTAATTTTAAAAAAAAAAAAACCAATAATTGTAGGGCGAGAATTTCGAAAAAAAGTTGAAAAAATTTTTCCTTTTCTCCGAAAACCTCCGATTCCATCGTCAACAAATACTTATGAACGACTGTTTGAAGCTGGAACTAAGTAAGAATTATTTTGCTATCATATCGAACCATTTGGAAAAGAAATGACGCTTCATACAGTTTGGCCAGTTTTAATGCTTTTACTTCAAAAACCATGGAAAAGATTTCCTTGAGTTTTACAGATTCTAGTAAAAATCTTGAAAACCTAAAATCTTCAGGATTTAATTTTTGAACGATATTGGATGTAATTAGGTCCATTATTATTAGCCTTTTATTTCAAAAAAACCGTTTATAGGGACAAATCTATCATTGAAAATTCGGAAGGAGCTAGGAACTCGCCTATATTTCTACACTGTTCTAGCAAAATTATTTCATCTTACAGCCAATAGAGCGAGCCAAATGGAGTGATTGTTCTCCTTTTAACAGCTTTCATCATTACCAGTTAGGCTGGTTCCGATTGTTAAGATGTCTCCAAGTTGTTCGGCTAGTCATCGCTAATAATAGAAGCCATTCCTTTTAGTAAATAGTGGAATCAACTCCCATGATGGACGATGAAGAACTTGCTCTAGCTGGCAAGGAGGATGATTATTATGGTGCATGGCACGTAATGCAAGTAACTGAGCGAAGATGGATGCAACCATGTGAGATTTTATACGAGATTTCGTTCGAAAGAGACCCCTAAAATGCATCATAGACATAAGTGATCAAGTGATAAGAAGATAACTTATGAATATTCTCCACTCTCATTAGCCATGTCTCGCAGCCATATAGCAAGATCGAACAGATCACGGATATGTAGACGCGGATTTTTGTTTTTATGGTGATTTCGCGACGACTCCATAAAAATTTTGTCAACCGGAAGAATTCTAACTATTGTTATCAGGGTAATTTCTTGTTTTGCTACGCCATTTGTAATTAGAGTGGATGCAAGATTTTTAAAATCAGGCATTTCTTCAATCGGTAATAAATTTGGAAAAAGAAGTATTTCAGCTTGTATATAAGAGGAAAATACTTTTTTTTTATATGCATTAATCCCGAACCCGGTTCTCGCTACAGTTGTTGATATATTGTTTAGATAACTGTCAGTAAAAAGAAGTACATCATCAGTGTATTCAAGATCTTTGATATTATGCTTGAGACTGATTTGTACGCCTTTTGAGGCCGACAAGCGATGTCAATTATCCATCCAGTCTATCACTCGGTTGAATACTGTAGAGAAATGCACGCAGCCTTGACAGACGGACCTTTCTTATTTCGAAATGGTCTGTTAGTTTCCCATATATACACATTTATCGATGTACGCTGATAAAATTCCTTTGTGAGATCTTTTCTGGAGCACCATTATATCCATCACTTCCCAAAGTATTGCTCTATCAAATGAATCGAAGGCAGCCGCAAAATCGATGAAACACATATTGGTGGGTTGTAAATATTTGAATTAAATTTGGAAATATTTTTCATGAATATCTGGTCAGGACAACCGCCCAGGCATGAATCCAACTTGATTAAGGTGCAATGAGTAAATGGGCGATAAGGGCGATAAACTGCCATAAGTTCATTGAGAAAAAGAGAAGAAAAAATTTTCGCTGAGACGTCTAGTAGACTGATTCCTCGATAATTTTCGCACTATGTTCTGTCATCTTTTTTGAGAATTGTGAGTAGAATTGCTTCGCTCCAGCCATCTGCTAATATTTTTTTCTTTCATAATAGATAGTACGTTTGAAGATGTGATATGCGAGACGATATTTGAAAAGTTCGGCCCGAAGACCACCCTCTCCGGTGTTTTATTGGCCTTAAGCTTATTGATAATACAATTATTTCCTGTTCTTCTGGTGGTTTGCAGTTGAAGCACATGGCTCGACGCGTGAATCAGCTCTATCCAAGACAACAGATGACGCATCGTGGTTATGCTTGGCTTCAAAAAATTCCTTCCACCTTATGAGGATTCTTAATAACCTTAGCAGGCACACCATTACTATCCTATATCATTCCACTAATCGTTTTCAGAGAAAGTGAATTTAAAAAAAAAAAGAAAAAAACTTATCTGATAACAATGAATATGAGCAGATCACCTTTTCCGCACGACCGTTCACAGATCAAATATAAATAGGGGAAAGGGGGAGGGGGAGGGGAGAGGGAGGAAGGGGGGAGTGATCACATTTTTTCGAAAGAATAATCGAGTATCAAAAATAAATAATATATTCAATTTCTAGAGAAAATGACATTTTTCGATTAGTTTTAACTATAATAATATGCGAAATTGTTGGCATACTTTTTTGTATCACCATTGCAGTCAAATATTCGACTTTTCCAAGCGTGTAAATATTTTTTTTTTGTGCTAAAATTTGCAAATGTTAGAAATTTTTAAATTTTAAATTTTTATTTTTATTAAATCAAAATATAAGATTAAAATAAAAATTAAAATATTACTTTTCCAATGTTCTACCCTTAAGTAAACAAAAATGAAAAGATTTTCGCTTAGAAATTTTCTATGCATCTCGCCAGAAAATTAAGCGATAATTTCTGGTGCACTGGTGTTGAATGCTTGTTCAACGTGATAATCTAAACCATTATCAACTCCATTAACCATCACTAGCAATGAATACAGTCGTCGTCCCTGTAGAGACGCTAAAAAATGATTATTACTGGATATTCACTGAACGATTCGATGAATTTCAGACAACTTTCAGACTTGGTATATATGCTGGCATTGGTACGCAAATCGTTTTGGGATTTATGATTGTTTCTCCTACAATTCGTGCTGTTATTCTATTAGCAATTCCAAAATTAGTGACGAGTAAATTACGAGCAATCTTTCTACTTTTTCTTATAAGCTGGTCGTTTCAAGTAAATCCTTATTTTTCATTAAATATGCAAAGTTTTTTGCTGAAAAAAAATTAGAAAATATTTTGTCGAATTATCAATTTTCCGATAAAATTGACGTTCATAAAGAATTAAAAAATTCTATAAACAATTATCTCCACAAGAATTCATTATTTTTGTCTATTATTTTTTTCTAGTTCCCAGCAATGAATACTGTTGAAAATCTACAATCGCTTGCTATCTCGATTGCATGCATACGTAGTTCAGTTATTCAAGTTGGGAATGATATAATCGAAGAAACAAATCAGCAACTAAATAAAGTTAGCATCGTATTCATTCGATGATAGCCCACTTCTCTCTCGTTAGGGGCTCTTAGAGATTGTAACCAAAGGACCACTTGTCGATAAATGTGGGTCTTTGCTAGTTGCCGAATTTTTTTATGGTATGGCAGATTTCTTTCTGCGCAAAAATCTTCAAAGATCCAAACTTCTCTTGATTAGAAGAAATTCAAAATTGTAAAGAAAAATTATCAGCGAATATAAAAAATATGAAAATATTTGAAAATATGAAAAATTAAAATGAATTAAATTAAAATTAAGTTTTAAAATATTTATTTATTTATATGTAGATTAGATTAATATTTATTGAATATTTATTGTATTTAATAATTTCTTGTAGGAATATATATAAATTAGGTATATTCTTGTATATTCTTGTAGGAATATATAAAAAATATATAAATTCGCTAAATTTAGATTAAATATCAAAAAATATTGACAATAATGCAACCATGTAAGTAATTTCGTTGTATTAAAAGCCTATTTCCATCTATCTGACGAAAAAAATTCATTCCAGTTATCAATAGAGTCATTCAAATGAGAGGTGATTGGTGCTGTTAAAAGAAAAGAAATTTTCAACTAAATTATTTTTCAGTTTTCTCTCGGTCCTCTAAAATCAAATATTCGATTTTTCACAGACAATATTTTTCAATTTCGACGAAGTATTCGCAAATTACAAGCGATGATTGCTGGGTTTGCAATTATCTTAAATTTTCATGATTTCAAATTAAAGAAATTACTCGCTAAACCAAAATTAAGATGAAAAAAAATAACATTTCGTTTACATAATATTTATTCTAATTCAATAATCGCCAAATCTTTTTTCCTTTAAATAATTTCAAATTTTAAAATATTTAAAATATTTATTAAAATTTTCTACTCAAATATAATAAATTACATAAAATATCAAATGAATTTCCTATGTCTTCATCCGAGAATTGCCATAAATCCGTAAAAGATTTTTCCATCCATTAGCTTATTTTCTAAACAATGAATAAAACTTTTGAAATGATTTTTTAGAGATCTATATGTACATATTACCTAAATAGTGGATAATCAACCAGATATCAGGTGGTAGTAGAAATCAACACTGGTGATAGATATAATAATGTTAAATACTAGAGTACTAGAAGGCTGAGAATTATGGAGGACTCCAAACTAGAAAAGTGGACCGACTAGATTCTACGAACAACATCCGAGATCTCTGTTTAGAAGGGCGCATTGCCAGAAGTTACTCGCAAAACCCTCAGGCCTCTGGGAGAAATCGAGAATGACCCATGGGGGAGCGAGGAATTTTTTTATCTTTAATAATAGACGATTTCTTGCAGATTTGGCAGACAGGCGAGAGATTATTTAGCACAACTTATGTTGATCAAGGAAATGTGTCAACGATTTTTTATCGGACCATATTATTTTGTTCGTAATTTTTATTCTTCCTTGTTTTTTTGGCGTTCGCTAGTTATACTATTTGTCGTCAGCAAATTTTTATTTACGTTAGACCGAGAGGAATTGTGGAGGATTTGATGAAGTCATCTTTCACTGTTATTCTCAGCTGCAATTCCATTTTGGGAATTCTTTCGGCATTTTTGTGGTGATTCTTAATCTTAAAACTGAAGAATTCCTGCTTGTTTAATTTTTCCAGTAAATTAGTGATCTATTTATGGAAATTTATGATTTGCAATCATTGAATATCATTGAACATTTAATTTGATTTTTTAATAAATTATGAGAAATAAAACTAAATTTACATTACATTACAGTGTATGAAAACTTTCGAGGAAGCATCCGTCAAATGCGATGAACATATGATTAGTTTCACAAACAAAATATGCTCATACATTAAAGACTTAAAGGCTGTTAGTCGACTTTCGTATAATTTTCGAAGTTTAGAGTTTAGCCGTCCTTAGTTAGAGTTCAAATAAATTCAAATTCAGTATATCTCTAATTCTTAAAGATAACACTTTGCAAGATTCTTGCGACTACAAAATAATGAACATTATTAAGAAGGTATTAAAGCAATCAGATCGCAAGTAAGATCGCTTCTGGATGCTTCAAAAGATATCATTTCCTTCTTTCAGCGACACTTACAGTTTTAGTTTCACTGATTATTAAGACGAGTACCATTTATCAGAGAGTCACTTGGACAGAAGTACGATTGATAAAAATATGTACTATTCACTGAGTATAAAACTAATTAATATTAAATAAGGTATTAAAATAGAATATAAATATTAAATGAATTAATATTAAATATCTGAATCACAAGCGGTTAAAATGAAATACAAAAATATATAGAATAAATATAAATATATATATATAAATGAAATATAGAAAATTTTGAAAATATGATCAAAATTCAATAGGTATGTGCTGTAGCGCGTTTCACTGAACAAGTTTGTGTTATACCAGACAAAATAAAAAATACTCTTAAACTTGGCTTTTTATCATTTATCAAAGATAAGGCTCAAAACACTGTTAAATCTGCACTTGATGCTTTGAATGTCACTTTCTATGTGGTAATAATAATTTTTAATTTAATTTATTTTTTTGATTATAAAGATTTTAGTAATAAATTGTTTTATTATTTCCTTCAGAAAATAAAGAAGAAATGAATTTAATAATTTAAAAAAGAAATTTAATAAATATCTAATTACTTGAATTTCGCTTTTATAATTTTCTTGCAATTTAGATTTCGCTTAAATTATTCTAAAAAAATCTCTCCAACAATTTGATATTAAATTTCTATTTCTTTATAAAATTTATTAATATAGAAATTAAAAATAGAATTCCCTTTTAAAGAATGAATTTTTCAAGAGAATCTAAGGAAATTAATAAAGAATTATTTAAGATGAGATATTTTTAAGAGAGAAGCAAAAGCAGCTAAGAAAAGTTGGGAAGAATTTGGATTCTGGTTGAATCATTCGCTTCAACATAATGAAACAGATTTATTTAATTGGGATGCAGTAAAGTAATAAAATTCCATTACTCATTTTTTATAAGAATAAGAATAAATGCAAAACTAATGATATTTTTTAAAATAGATTATAATTAGAATGCATTATAATCAAATACATTCTTCTTATAACAGATACTCTTCATTTCTGGTTTGGTTGATTGATTATTATAAGGAATGAGTATTTTTCGTCTGGGGAAAAGAGGTTTTCTAGCACCACATAGGTTTCAGTTTGAATGAATTTAAGTTGAATAAGTTTTCTATCAAAGGATTTCTATCAAAGGAGGAGGGGGAGGAGGGGGGGGGGGCAAATTTAACTCGTATTGCTTTGTCTCAGCAAAAATCACTCCATACCATTCTGTCAAATATAATTGAAATAGGCACATCAAATGAGGGAGGAATAAAAAGAAATAAGAAGAAATTTTTTGATGAGAAATTTTTTGCTGCGAAATTAGAGAACATTCACATTTGAAATCTTTTTTAAACGTCATGAATTATTCAGATTCTATTCGACTTGTACTGCAAGACATTCTTCTTCCATTCTATAATAGAACTCATATTATTTATTAAATAAAGATAAGAACAAAAATCTCGATGATATGATAATTTCAAAATCAATCTTAATCTCTATTAATCAAAAATTTCTTTTTCCTCTTTGGCCGGTTAGATTGACACCCGCGAGCTACAAATTTATGGTGAAACCTTTCGATCCTTCACTGCACCTTTGAATTTCGATGTAATAAAAAATATAATAAAAAATAAAGAAATGAATTATTGATAGCAAGAAATGCACTATAAAGAGTGGAAAAAAATACAAAAATACAAAAAAATTTATAACGAAATTTAATTAATTTAATTTAATTTAATTTTATAACGAAATGAATAAACAATGAAATTAAAATTTATAAAATTTTATATTAAAAGTATGAATTAAAAATTCTGAATATATAAAAATTTTAATAATCTTTTTGGAATTTTAAATGCAATTTTTTTGGCTCCATTTTTTATGGTTCTTTATAAACGATATACATAATATTTTATAAGTAAATTTTGAATTTTTTCAGAGAAAAATTAAAAAAAGAATTTTATATTTTTTCATTTGTAACCGATTTTATTGGAATGGTTATATCGATAATAATTATTCCGCTAACAATTCATCCGTTCCTTAAGGTTTTTGCTATTTTATTTTATTTTATATATTTAGAAAATCAAATTATTTTTTAAAAAAAGAAAAAATGAAATTTTCGATTGAAAAATTTGTTGAATTTGATTTTAATAGTTGCACTTTAACTGTAATTGAATGATTTTTAAAAAAAAAATAAAGTAAAATAAAATAAAATTGTTATTTTAGGCGTTGAAATACGCAGTGAAATATAATAATGATGAGAAAACCGATAATTTTTATATAACTGATGAATTTCGAAAGATTGATTTACTTCGCGAAGCTCGAAATGAACCCGCAATTTTACCTCTCTTGCCTGAGGAAGAAAAAAAAGTTGGATCTATACGATGAATTTTTTAAAGCTATTAATTGCACCAATTTTAATTTTTTAATTTTTTTTCTAAAAATTTAAGAGAATTTTCTTTCCTATAAATTATCCTACAAAAAAAAAAAATTAAAATTAGTTAATTTTTCACCATTTCTGGCAAACTTTGCTCCATTGAATTGTAGCACGAAGGAGAATTAAGGATGAAAATACATGTTGTCCATCAATTTTGCCCGGATTTTCAATGACGGGTTTACTTTTGCCGGCGGTGAAATGCTTGATTCATATCAATTTAAGATTCAAATAAAATGAGCAGCAACCAGCCGGCTGCTTCTTCATACCTCCTATCCATATCCGACGTCCATTTTTATTGCATTTTTGTTTTATTGCAATTTTCATACATTAATGAAATATATTATAAGATTATGCATTCATAGTAGAAACTATAAGATATACATTTTTCTCGATATTTCCTCGAATATTTCAAAGATAATTCAAAAATAGATAGTGGTGACTAAATAGATAGTTAAAATTTTGTGATTAATACCGATATATTCTAGTATTTGGATGGTTTCAAATTGCATATGTTGGCTAAAGAGAAACTAAAATTAACTTTCTCATTGGGAATGACATTAATCACTGGTTTTGTACCATTTTTGCTTGTTATGATCGACGTATTCACATACGAATTGTTGAATTATTCATATGAATTCTTTCAGTCGAATCTCACGCAAACAGATCGACTTGATCACTATGAACTTGCGGTTGGAAAACTTTTTCTTCATCAGCAAAACATTTCATTTTTTTTAAAATTTTAACAAAATTTTTTGCATAATTTTTAATAAAAAATCCTAAATTTTATATTACTAATAGTTAAAATGAAATTGCATTTTTTTGATTTCTCTTTTTTTTTATTGTAATTGATTCGTTAATGCTTTGATAATTGGAAGATTTAAAAATCCTTAAATCCAACGAAATCCTGGATTCAGAAGTTTATTAGTGAGAAAAAGAATGAGATGAGATCCAGCATGGATGAGTGTTCCCTTAGAATTTTTGGCGGATCCAAATCCAAAGAGTTGCTATAATTGCATGGAACTTTATTCATGACTGATTGGTCTAAGCCAACCGGTTTTAAAGAAAAATTTCACAATAAAATATTAAGGCTATCTATTAATGCTCCTATGTACAGGATAATCCTGATTGATTCTATGCTATGCTTAACTTATTTATTTATTGAAAACCAGCCAAACAGGGCGGAAACGCCATGTGCTTGTATTAATAATATCAGTTAAAATAACAAACAAGAATTGATGACAAATAACAAAAAAATAATAATATTGAAATAAACAATTTAAAGATGAAATAGAAAGGATATCGCAAAATAACAAAATATAGTATAATTCGAAATAACTATAATCGGATGGTAAAAATTGCGATTTCATACTTCCTACATGATATGAATTTTTTAAATAATATCATAAATGATATTATCTATTCTTTTTTTAAAGATAGCTAGGGATGGCGCAAAAGCTATTTTGTTCGATAATTTATTCCAGAAATTAATATTATGAATAAAGAAGTCCTTAGTTTTACACATAGGTTTTAGTAATTTTTACCCATTAGTTCTTGTTGGATTTAAATTTAACCTAAAATTATAATATTTTGAACAATCTAGTTTAACATAACCATACAAAATCTTATAAGTATAAATTAAATCTTGTTTAATACGACGAATTGACAGAGAATCCAGGTTGTATTGTAGAAGTTTTTTTTATAATTAAAATTACAATTAAGAGAGAGGCGCCGTATATATAAAATATTTTTGAGTCCTTCAATTATTTTACTTGTTTTACGATATCCCGGTGCGTAACATGTAGCATTGTAGTCAAGAAGTGGCCGAATGAACGTTTTGTACATTTTGATAAGAAAATCTTCAGCATCTTTTGCAAAAAAAACGTGGTCGTGGAATGAACGATTGGAATGTATATGACTATCCTCACAAGATTATATCTTCTCCGTTTTGCCATCGGCTTTTCGCCGCCAATATATATGGTTTCTGAATTTTCAATTATCGAAAATTCCGTCCATCTATTTCAGAAGGAGGCAAGAATTGGAAAAGCAATCTGTGAAGTGTTCCGAAATAAGAATGGAAATCTCATTAATGCTAAGGCCATAAAATATTTTTTTCTCCCAATAGGGAAAGTTCTTTGAATCTAAATTAATTATGGTGAATCATTCAACATAACGAATATGATCATTTGGAGCCATATAACCATATAATTAGAAACTTCAGTCACCAAACACGAAATAATCTTTATAATTTACAAGCTAAGCCCAACAAAACTACATGTTTGCGAACAGAACGTTTACCCTACTCTGTAACACATTTTCATTTATATGCAAGGAGCAAATGCCATGTGAATGGAATCAGATAATACTGCTTCCAATTCTCTAAAAAGACAATAGGGCATCGAGGCAAGTATCAAGAAATGTTTCTGGAAAGGTTTTTGTCTTTCTTCTGCTAAATAAACTTATGCCAGTTAATGATAAAAGGATGAACCGGATTTGAGCCAGAAGGTATCAGGAATAGTTATGATAAATTTTTAAGCAGAAAAGAATAATGAAACTTTTTTCCAAGAAGCGGAGCCTACCGTTATGCTTTATCGACTTTGTCGTTATTTTTAATCCGATCGAACAGGGTGACAATCTTGGGAAATCATATAGTAAAATGGTATTTCAGCGAAGATGATCAGAACATATTAAAGCATTTTATACATTAGTGCAGGAATACGGAGAACAAAATAAACTGGATTATGGCACTTGTGACCGACACTCAAAGCTGCATAAGCCAGTCTGCAATATCACTGACGTAAAATACGCTTATTATGGAGCTTGAAAAAAGGAGTGATTTCAATTATTTTCAAAAATGGCATCTGATCTGGAAGTTTGGAAGCATATTATCCTAGCTGCCAATGAAGCGGGCCAAATTTGCATTGGTGTGAGATATGAGAAGATGAAAAAGCGCCTCTTTAAATCAAAAGATTGATCTGATAAAAAAACCACTTATCTTATCTACAGTAGGAAAAATAACATTTAGAAAAATTTTTTTCCAGATATCGGGTGAAGGCTTTGCTGCAAATCTTATGAAGAAGATCCTGCAGATATTCAATCCAATAACACGAGGATCGGATGTTGACGATAGATGGCGTAAATGTTTTTCTGAACCCAATCCTCCAGATTACCTTCTTTTCCAGCTCATGCTTTTCTTATATATTTTATCAATTCTAATGTGCTTTGTTCAGGTTCCAATTCCAATTTTTTTGGGAACCCATATTATTACTCGCTTAAACTCGCTCTATTAGCTTGTCGCGCTAGAAAAATATGAAAAAGATAAAATAGCATCGCCCAGATTTTTGGGCAGATTCACTCTTACAAAGAATAGAACCTTAAAAATTCGGTGCTCCGAGCTGAGCAACAATCCACTGAGCTATTTTATTTTTATGCAGAATATATACTAAATTAAAGAAATAAGTTCTTCTTGTCTTGCTAAGAACATTAATTTCTGTTAACAGAATTTATTCAATAGAATGAGACTCAAGGCTTGCATTGCTGAAACTGAAATTATAAAGGTTCCAATAATTTTTGCAGATTTATGCCAGCAGACTTCGTCGAATTATTGCTAATCACTACTGGCCTGAGCGGTCCAAACCCAGAGCACTTTTTCTCTATAATCAATTACTTTTAGCTCGCAAACTACTATTATCTGATGTGATTAAAAGAGCTAAAAAAAAAGTAAAATTTTTTTTGGAACTTTTCACTATAAATCTGAATTTTCCAAGCCAAAAATTATATATTGTGTATATACTTTATTTATTGTACAAAAAGGTATTTAAATGGAGAGAATCCTAAAAATCCGAAGTTTAAAGAGGTTTCATCTGCACATCTACAGCAGCCTAATTATACCATTTTCCGCATTCCATTATAATTTCAAATCATCAAATATTCATTTAAATATTTTGGTTGATTTTTAAAGGAATTCAAAGAACAGTTGGCTCATGACGAAATGGCTGGCCGAAGCAATCTGATCAATCGTGGTTTGCCAATTATTCGTGGCGATGAAGATCAATGTATTCGTTGTGGATGCTTTAATTTAAGTGCTATCGCTGCGAGGTAATCCATAAAAATTTAATGCTGAGTTCTTGATTAATTTTTTCAATTAGCTGCATTTAGCAATTCTCGAATGTGTCCAAACTGTGATGGATTGTATTGCACGGACTGTTATGCTGTTCGGAAAAGATGCTTAAAATGTCACACAAATATGAAGGTTTATTTTCATCTTTCTAAATTTAATAATCTAAACCACCATTCCAGCAATTTAGGTCTACTTATAGCCAGCAAAAGAAGCCTAGCCAGTGAGCAATAGCCACTCAATTATTATATATCATTTTGGTTATATTTTATATTATTATTATTATAATTATTATTTTATCATATATTTCATCATTATTTTATCATTATTATCATTATTTTATCATTATTTTATTTTATTATTTATTTTATCAAATATTATTTTATCATTATATATAAAATTTTGAGAATAGCAAAAAATATTAAAGGATAATTTTATTTATCAAAAATATTAATGGGCGAATAAAATTTGTAAGCTAAACAATGTTATAGGCGTTGAAAGAGGTTAAACTTTACAACGATAGCAGTGGTGATGAAGAAATTGAAGAAGATGAATGAAACAACAAGAAATGATTCAGGAATAAAATTTAATAATAATTGTTTGTTATTAATCTTAAAAAAATTTTTTTTTATTTTTTTTTAAATTAATATTTTATTAATCGACATTTGCTTAACGCAAAAGCAAAAATAAAACCTTAAATTATTCTTCCCCACTTAGAAATTAGTAAAAAATAAAAACAATCCATGCGATGGTTCAGTTTATTGTTTGGATTATTTTATGTAAATCCTTCTAAATTATGAAGAAAAGTTCGAAATAAGGAAAATAAGGAAAAAACAAAATAAGGAAAAAAACTATTCGAATAAATTCTCTATGACGGAGAAGTATATATTTAGCTGGAAAATACTAGGAAATTTTATTTTTTTCAACCGACATGAAACAAAATGCCCTCATTTATAGACAATTTGGTTTGCTTTTCATGGAAAATATAGGTGATTTTCCTCGATTTATTATTATTTATCTATTGGTTTCTATTGGTTCAGTTTTACTGAATTAAATTGTGCATATTTTATGGATTGTATTTTTTCTCAAATCAATTTCTTTCCTTCAATTATCTTTATTTTATGGAAAAAATAAAATATTGACTTTTTTTTTACTTATCCATTAATTATTTTAATGATTATCTATAATTATTTCCTGCGAAAAAATTTTCAAAGTTCATAGAGCAAATTTGCTTAAATTCAGCAATATTATACGATAATTATTTAATTAATATCAACTTTCCACTGATTTTATCAATGGCGAGGAGTAAGATAAGCCAATCCGCTTAGCAATCCATATTTATCGCTATTATATCCATATTAATTTTTAATTTTAATTTTAATTTTATTTTCATTTTATTTATTTTAACAAATTTATTTTGGCTAGTTTTGTCATTTCTTTTTCGTATTTGATTCATTACAGTAGCATCACATTTTCAATAATATATATACTTCAATGATATATTTTTGATTTTAAAAGTACTTTTTGAACTTTTAATATTTTTATACTAACAAAAAAAATATTTACAATTTTTCACATTTCAATCTCGGATTATCGCAATCACTACACGAAGTTTTTAAATGACAAGTTTAATCCAGCCGAAATTCATCATCAATTGCATAATTTTTTAAGAATTACAATATTTTAATGAGAAATTTCTATGGAATATTTTTAATCAAAAAGAAAAAACTGCATGTGAAAGTTCCTTAAAAAAAAAAAATTTATGGAAAATAAAACTTTAATTTAACGGTATTCTTTATGAAAAATATGAATTGATATCCATATCCACAAGGATTACATTTATACAGAATTTTAACAATTTAAAACACAGTTTAAATTTTAAGGATTTCTAGGACTCTATTTTTTATAAACAATTTCCTCACTAATCATTTGATTATCACTTTTCACCTTTGAAAATTACTTAATACTTTTTGAATTTTAAAGGGCTAAATGAAGAGATGAAGAGATTGTCTATTTTTTTTTCAACATATTAGCTTAATTAGTTAATTAGCTTTTTCTAAAGGGAAATCAGTTAATAATCAATTAACGGCCACAATACTGATCCTTAGTTTAACTGAATAATTGAAATCAGTTTCCAGGCAATTATCATCAAACTAGTGAATATTTATCAGTACCGAGTTCTCCAAAAGCAACTCCAAGGAACAACATTTCGGATTTGGCTTATTCAACCAACTGTTTGGGACAAAACTTCTGACGCTTTAGAGTTGGATTATATGGCACCATATCACCACTAAAATTTGGTTTTCAATGATAACTGAAAGCATAATCGAAGTTACGATGGCTTAAGTTATGATAGCATAGCCGAAGCAATGCACCATCTCATTATATCATTATTGTCCTTAGCATAATTTCAGTAATTTGTGGGTTTTGAGCCAATAAGAGCCTATGTATGAAGCAAAAAATTTATTTAATTTCTAGCTTCTGCTTATTTCAGCACAATATGAAAACAAATCAACATGTTTTTATTAAACATGATGCATTAATTTAACAAAAATCACTTAGAATTTTCTCAAATTTCACAAACAAATAAATTTTTCACCGATCACACTCCTTAGAATGCATGATGAAATCAAACAACAAATGCCCATAACGATAAGATCGACTGAGGAGATTCGATTATGCAAGAGTGATATAAAAAATATATCACTGCATCACTCTAACGGAGAATAACTCGACTTTAACGAAACTGATTTCAAGCAGTTACTCCAACCGTTTCGGTTGTTTCGAAAAGTGGTTCGAGAACTGGCCTAAAGCGATTTTTACGGCTTCGTTGAAGATGTGGTCGTTTTTCGACGCTTGAAAAATTCTCATTTCCTGATTCCTAAAAGCTAACTAAATATATTTATTTATTTTTCGACTGATTTATTTTAAATGATATTATTTTATCGGCAATTTTTTAACAAAAATAAATCGAAAATTTTCTATTCGAAAAATTACTTCATCATTTTCATCGTAAACTTTCCTAAGGTAAACATCGGGTAAATAATTTTCTGGCTGAGAATCGACTAGAATGAGGCGTACAGAGCCAACCGATCGCTTTATTTCCTTAAATTTAAATAATAAATTATCAAATTTCAATGAAATCAATTAGAGAACAAAAAAAAAATTTATTAAATTTAGAAAAATCCATTTTATCGTAAGTACGGACCTGTTCAAATTGAATAAGTTGCCTCCAAAAACCTAGATTTGGTCTAACTAATGGCCTTTTTAATGACATTAAACGATATGCATCACGAAGTGATCGACATTTGTATTTCGTAAGATAAGCAAGACAAATTGACGCTGATCGCGACACTCCGGCTACACAGTGCACTAGAACTCGACCACCATCTGATAATATTCTTTCAATCTGCAAAATTCAAAATTATTCATTTCATAATCTAAATAACAGTTGTTTTTAGCATGATCTGTACAGCTTTTTCTAAACAAGGAAATTTATCAAAAAAAAAAAAAAAATCACTTGATCACTATAGATTTCCAAATGTTGATATATATTTGCTTGTGGCGTATCTTCAAGCCATAATTTCACTCGAGGAATATGGCCAAGTGATCGAAGATTTGGCACCTAAAAAAAATAGATAATTTTAATAAAGTGGAAAATTTTAAAAAATGGACTGGAGAAGACGACTCTTAAAACAATTTATTACTTCAGTTGTTGCATTGATGATAAAAGATATGCCGTAACGATCGAGAATCTCTCTTTTTAACGCAGTTACACCGCATATAAATAAGCCAGGAATAATTTCCGATATTTTTGCATATTCCGGATCCACTTTAAACGATACTGAAGTCATTTTTGATTCTGAGAACTGCTTGCTTATAACCATAAACTGAAAATATTTATATATTACAGACAAAATGCCTTCTATAAATAATAGTTATAGACATATTTTTCGGACCTTTGATAACAAACAAAAATATCTTATTTTGAAAAAAAGGACGAAGAATCTCAAAATAAGATTAAAAGAGGCCTTATGTGACCGAAAAGTGACTCAAATTTAAAACTGAGGGAGAATGATAAAAGGATAAAGATGGGTGATAAGCTGTTAAATCCTACGTTATTTCACTAAGGAATAAATTTATGGAAACCATGGGATTGTACCCTCAAGTGACTCATCGAGATTCTAGTCGACTACTGGACTAGTGGACTAATGGACTAATCGACTAATCGACTACTGGATTAGTGGACTAATGGACTAATCGACTAATGGGCTAATGGATTAATGGACTAATGGACTAATGGACTAATGGACCAGCGGACAGTTGGACCATTGAACCACTGGACCATTAGACCAGTGGAAGTAACTCAATCACATATATCCTATGCTCAACGACTAACTCCCTAACCAACCATCTTTATGCAAAGCGCATCGAAAGCAATGAACAAAATAATAATCGCTCTCCCAGCATATCTATTTTTCCCAGCCCAATTGCCTTTATTTTCTCGATTCACGTGAATTTCTCGTGCCTCAACGAAAATTATTTAAACTCGCTGCAGATGTTAAACATTTCAATACAAATAAACTACTTTTAAACTGGTTTTTCACGTGAATTTTCGTTGATTCGATGGTTTATTTGTTAATAAATATGAATAAATTCACGTGAATACAATTCGAATTCATTTGCAAATATATTTTTAAAAGAAAATCCTTAATTTTCGTGGATTTTACAAAAAAATTGGATTAAAAAGAAATTAAAAGAGATTTATTTAAAATTTTTAATTATTTTCCTAAAAAGAAAAGATAAATGAAATTAAACTAAAAAAAAATTTTTTTTTAAATATAAATTTTAACAATTCAAAATTATTAAAAATTATTTTAAAAATACTTTTTAAAATATTATTTTATTATTTCAAAATATTAAATATTATTTAATTAAATAAAATTTTTAAAATAATTTCTTAAATTGAAAAAAAATTGAAAAAATGGATTTAAAAAAATTGAATTAATAAAACTAATAAAAATAAATAAATTATTATTTATTATAAAATTATTTAAAATTTTTAAATGCTAATAAAATTAAGAAAAATCATATCGGTAGTTTTGACGAATAAAAAGAATAATTGCATAAAGCAAAAGGGGTGGTGGGGAGGGGGGGGGGTGAAAAGAGGAGAGGGGGAGTGGGGCGGGGTGAGAGAATAATACCGAATTAGGCGATCGAATTTCATTGTGCTCATAACGAGTTCCTAGAAAAGCAAGACGACTTCGATAAAAGAGAAACGAAAAAAATCCCTAAATCTTCACCGTAAATTTTTTTTTTCTTATATTCTAGTCCATCTTCGTCATTTTCTTCGAATAGCACAAGCGATAACTAATTCGCTGCGGTGACTACTAGGCGATTAAGATCCTTTTAGTTAGAGAACCATTTGGAGATAGAAATAAAGTACGGTCCCTAATATTCAATGCCTAATGACAGGTTCACTGGTTTTCATCGAAGGAAGGTACCATTCGATATGCCTGACTAGGCTAATTAATAAAGGAAAAGTTTAATGACCTATCTATGGTGAACAATCCCAGGTTAAACAATGTTTGTCTTCTTGGTTGCAAATTTAATAAAGCCAAAAAAAATAAAAAAAAAAAGATCATTTACCAAAAATTATTGGTAATATTGGTACTTTTATGAAAAACCTATATTGCTTGCCAATATTACACAAACAATTAATTTTTAAGGACGACAACATAACTACGAAACACTCAAATAGACACAATTAATTATTTAAAAATAGGTATTTTTAAATTTTCAAATTTCTCTATTATTAAATAAATTGAATAAAATAAATTTAAATATGATATGATAAATGATAAATAAGAAATAAAAATTTTTGACATCATAAAATAATCGTTTAAAAGGAAAATAAATGCATAAAAATTGATAAATATAAGTGTTACTATTCGTTTTATACAAATTAAAAAGCAGATTAGCCAAGCGGAAAATGATTATCATTTAGATTATCAGAGGGATAAGAAGGAAAAAATCAAAAAATCCATAATGATGCTGATTATTCATTTAAATCACTCGATAAGTTCTTCGTAAAAATTTTTTAGTCACATAATAATCAGAGAGGAGAGTTAAAATTAATGGTGAGAAATGGTGAGCACAAGTTGCTTACTTTTATAAGACTGGAATGGTACGAATGAGCCATTTTCCTTGAGTTTTTATTTTTTTCATAAAATATAAAATTAATGAACGAAAACTTAAATAAGCACCAATCACCAATTAATTGTCTAAAGGAAAAAAAATTTTTAGGAAAATTTAAGAAAAAAACTTATCATATTTTATTTAGCATTTATAATATTTGCGTGATTAAATTACGCTTATCAAATTGCGAAAAATGACAAGTGCTTAAAATAGAGGTGAAATGACGATCTTCAGCCAAATATTTGTCGTCGTTGGGAATTCCTCTGATGAAAATGCGCGTAATGTTGGCGCTCTACCGCCATTTCTTTTACCAAATGCCTCGCTTTTCAAGAAATTTTTCACCGAATTAACAAAACTGTAAAGTGAATTTTAATGGTGAAATGGTGCTAAAATAAAATAAAATAAAATAAAAATAACGAAAAGTAATCAATCGAAAATTTTTAAAAAAATTAAATATTTAAATAAAATTAATTCGTTCAATCTTAATTAATTACTTATTTATTCGAAATTTGAATGGAATTCCTCGGTTATATAAAGATTTATCACCGTAAATCATTGAAATAATCCGCAAAAAAAAAAAAAAAAAAAGAATTTTTTTTCAAACTCACGTGAAATTCAATTTTCTTGCATGTGAATATTTGCTTTTTCGATTCGAAAATAATAAATTTTATTATTGATAAAAAAAATAGCTGTAAACGAAAATAAATAATAAATGAAATTTCGCAAGCACTGGCTTAAATGAATCATTCTTTTTGGTTTTTTTTTAATTAGCGTAGATACACGTGAATTTTTAATTAGTGTTATTTATCAGCCTTATCAGTTATTTTAACAATGCGTCGACTCTTTATGGTTCGATTTTATCATCTATTGGATGGTGGATTTTGGAGAGCTTTAGGATAAAATTATAGATTTGTGTCCAACTCTATTTGTTTTTCAGGCATTTTTTTTCCACAAGCGATTTCATTCAAAATCAACATTCTTCCATTTGAATCGTTTTCCAGAAAATTCCAGAAAATAATTCCTATCATCATCTTCACAGAGCGTACATTATGACTGGTTTGATTGCTTTCACCGTCTACAAAATTCTTCTTGGAATTGTTGTCGTACAATTTTTAAGTTCCTTTAATTGATGTTTTAATCTTTGATGTTTTAAATCATAAGGGTCTTCGCCATCACTGGTTAAACTCGCTCCACTGGCTTATCGCATTGGACCAATATGCCAAGGAGTCCCTCAGCGATAGAAATACAAGTGAGTCGCCAGCATCACCTGGACTTTTGGAAGTTTACTCCTGCAGGGAATCGAACTGAGAATCTGCGCTCCGAATCGAGCAACAACCCACTAAGCCATTCTATTCCCCATATCGAATTATAAACGGATTTCGAATCCATGAACTTTAAATTTTTTTTAAATTTTTTTCCAAAATATACAACGATTCTTTCCCATAATCCTCATTTTCGCACAAGAACGCAGCTCATGAAAGTCTTCCAGCCATATTGCATTTCTGCAGCCTCGTTTTCATGAAATTCTTAAGAAAAGCTATCGCTCTTATCATTCGTCTTGATCTTATTCTAACATTCTACAGTCATAGTTTTTCGTTTATCGAGGAACTCTCAACGATGATGAAAATGAGCGACAAATGCGAAATTCTTAGCCGTACTCACTACTTCTAAACCAAAACAGTTGGTTTGGCTGGCCGCTAACGATGAAAACACAATCACTAGGAGCATAAATGGGTTTCCACTCCTATCACTTTCATTTTGCTCTTAATGATAAATCCATTCCAATCAAATTGATAAAAAATCAAGTTCATTAGCTCAGGCAAAATACCACTCATACCACTCCACTCCACTCATAATTTCTAGTGATGAAATTTTTAAATGCGGTAAAATATAAGGAAAATATACAGTAATTACTTAAAAATTATTTTTCAAAATTATATTTTTTATTCTAGCTCAAACTTTATAATCATAATTAACATTGCCCTATGTTCTATTCTTTAGCTAAACGATTTTCCTCAATCAATTCAAAATATATAGAATGGTTCCACAAATTTGATAATATTGATATGACAATACTGATAAGCTTACTTGGCATAAATAAACTGGATTCATTGATTTCATAATCTATGATTGGGGATAGAATGGCTCAGTGGGTTGTTGGGAGCGCCGGTGCTGAGGTTCGATTCCTGCAGGAGTAAACCTGTACAAAAATCCGGGTTATCCTAGCGACTCATCTGTATTTCTATCGCCAAGGCACTCCCTGGTTTATTGCCCAATGCGACAATCTAGTGGTGAATTTAAAAATAAATGCATTGAATATGAAAATATAAAGAACTTAAAATGAACTAAATATTTTGGTAATTTTAGTCGAAGAAAACAATGGATTCGACTTATAACATTGTCGAATAACATTTTTGGTTTGGTTGGTTCAACTTACCAATGGGATAAGGGCAGAGTTCATTCTCATTAGATTTCATTCTCATCATAAATTTAGCCCAAAGGGATGGAAATCGAGCCTAAAGCAACTTGGCCTTAATCTACATGTCGCTCTACTATAGTCCTTACAAGCTAGGAAAATATCCAATTTAAATCTGTAAAATTGTGAAATTTACAAATTTAACAAAGGAAAAAGCAATTTGGTTGATTTAACTGAACTGTGCTTATAATAATTGTGATAACATTTGAAGTTCTAAATTTCGGTATTCTTTGGAAATTTGACCCATTTTTTGAAAACAATATGATAAGTTATCAAGGAATGAGTTATCAATAGCGATGCTTAGCCTCAACAGATCGGCTCTTCACACATCGTTTTTTATAGATTTCATTAGAATTTTAACTTTACACTTATTAGTTTTCTAAAAATTCACCATTTCTTTTTCTTTATTATATATATATAATTGTAATAAAAAATTTTGTTCTGATGCTTACTTGGCATAAATAGACTGGATTCATTGATTTTATAATCTCATTCTAGTGGCCAATGAGCTCAATGAAATTAGAGATAATAAATGCTATCAGAAAAAGCGTCCAAGAAAGTTGATGAAACTATTTGCAGCAATTTTTTTATTACTTTACTTTTAAATTTAACAGAATTGGTACCAAGAATTGACGTGAACTTGACGTGTCCTTTTTTTATAAAATTTTTGAAAATATCTAATGAATTTTAAATTTTTTGAATCCACATTAAGACATTTCAGTCTATTCATACTTGTAAGCATTTTCAACGGACTGGAATTGTCTTACCCTGACGCTTAATTTATTTGCAACGCAAAAGTTAAAAATAAGCAAGTAAAGTAAATGTAAAAGTAAAAGTAAAGTAAAAATCCGGTCACTTGCTTCGTTGCCTATTAGTATTATTAGAAAGACCGTTGTGGATAATATTATAAATTGGCCAACCGGATTTTTTAATGATAGAAGATGATAAATTTAAGTAAAACGTTTTTCAAAATGGAAAAATTTTTGAGAAATTTATTTTATGTATTTTTGCATGCTTCATTATATAAAAATCTTATTAATCATATATTTACCAGTTAAATTATTTTCAAACATCAGTAAATACGAATCAATAAATATACACAAATAATAAAATACAATAAGTGCACATAAGCCATTTCATGCACTATGATATGATATGATTATAGTTTTTATGGTGACCACCTAGATAGCAAGTTTAGGTAATTTTAATACTATATCGCCCTATCCTAAAAGATTCTCTAAAGTTAGAGTTCTTTTTACAGCCAAATTCGCTCTTCCAAAAATGGCAGTCGTCGATAAAAAACCAAAATATCACAATGACTGGGCTGTTTTTTAGAAAAATTTAGCAAGAATATTATTCAAAGAAGTCTTATAATTTTTATGAAATGAAAAAAAAAATGGAAGAATTATTAAATTCCTTAAAGGAACAATAAAATAAATTATATTTGAATTATATTAAAATTTAAATACAACAAATAATTTAACAAATAATTTGCTAATTTTTCAAGAGCTTTAATGCTTACAAAAATAGAAATGAAAATCATTTTAGCTGTGATGCTTCTCGGTGAAAAGTTTTCGTCCTGGAAAGAAAAGCAACAGAAATTTCGCCTAATTCCTATTTATATGTAATTAGAATAATGGAATTCGTATTAAAAATTGCTTCTTATAAAGTCCACGATTACCTTTGGATAAAATGAGAGCAATAAATTAAGGTAATTGCTAAAAGAAGAAATGAAGAATTGAAGAAAACGATTCGAAGAATATCGAAAATTGATTCTTTTTTTTGTAAAAAATCACTATTTATTTAAATAAATTCGCCATATGAGATCATTGATATATAACTTTTCCAAACTGTTACCAACCAGGAACAACAGATTTTAGTTCCGGAGGTGGATAGATACCGTGCATCGCGCGATATGCATCATCCTGAAATTTCATTCTTTAAATTTTTTATCTAATATTTTAGTGATATTGATCTTAAATAAAATTCAAAACTTTTATATCCAATCAGGTCATTTGCAATATTGAATCAGTCAAGAAATTCGGGTCGCATCGGTCATTCTGAAAGACCATAACTTTATTGAAAATCAAGGTTTCTATTCAAAAAGCAATTAACATACTTTTGCGATACAAATGCATTTATACCATTTGCCTAAAAGTCCGAAATGCTAGAATCAGTGTTGCAAGATGATTTAAAAATTCTCTTGTTTTCGCAAATTTTTCTCTCTGAGGAAATTGCCGAAAAATTGGAAGAAGTATATGCGACCATTAGTGAAAGGTTTGAGGAATAAGATGGGAATGGGAGACAACGATGTTCAACTCGGGAAACTGATTTTTGCAATGCAGAATTATAGAACTTTTTCAGTTTAAGAGAAACGGTTCGTACTTATAGGATATTTCCAATTACTATACGAATTTATTATACGAATCGTTTTATTCATTATTGTCAATATTCACCATTTCATCGATCTTTTCTTATTGTCAAAATCCATCTTTCTCGCAAAGAAATATTTATTCCAGAAATGGGTCATTCTTATCTCATATTAACAGTATTCAGTATAACAGTACACAGAAGACACTTCTAATTTGCTACGCTTTTCTTTTTTTTTAGTGCACGAGGTGTACGATTTCACATGGTGCCAATTGAAGCACCAGACTCCTGTGTCGTCATTCAGGGATCAGGGATCCATCCATAGAATCTTTGAGAATCTGCTCTGGGCATTTTCGAGATCTGAATTATCTCCAGATCTGAATTTCACGAACCATTTTCGCACTGTTCTATCTTTAGGAGTATTTTCATATTTATATTTATATTTATTTATAACAAAATTTGCTTGTATATTTTTATGAGTTTCGCCGACCCTACCGATCTACCGACCCTCAATTTAAGCTTGGAATACAATACGAAATTCATGCGCCTCATGTCAAATTTGATTCCAATTTACTCAAATAAGAACGAAACCTCCTACTGGTTCTGCGAAGAAAATAAAAAGTCACAACGAGCAAAACGATATGTCAGCAAATGTGGCACAACAAGAAAAATAAGCTATCATAAACCACCAAAAAAACGGCTCGAATCAGTGTAAATTAGTCGGATTATTTGAAGACGTTCGCTTACTGTAAGAATTTTAAAGAAAGGTCTAACTGTTATAAAAAGTCTTATTTTATTGATATTTATTACAGTACCGATGTTTGTCTGATCACATTATCTCATTATAACTCACTCACTTCAGGCTATCGTACTTGAGAATAGAAATACAAGTACCTATCAACTGGATTTCATAGTTAATAACAGGTTTATTCTTTTCAAATGACTGGAATTCATGCAGTTTGCCCTCGGATCAAGCCACTAAATACCACTGATAAAATTTTATAATAAGTAAATAAGTAAATATAATAATAAGTAATTTTTTTTCGCCAGAATCAGAAATTTTACCAGAATCTTATTTTATGCAGATTTATAAAAGAATCATTGCTTGTGACTATTATAATGATACCAAGCGATAGGAATATCAGAAAGAAGGAATATGAGAAGTTAGAGCAAGGAAGCAAAGGCCTAACTGAAAGAAAAACTACGGATGATGTGCGAAATAAAGGCCAATATAATTCTAGTGATAACTGAAGCATTTGGAATTCCTTAACTAGAAAAGTGGTCTCAGCAGATTCCAGGAACAACATCAGATCCAGAAAAGCTATTAGAAACAGCTAAAATAATGCGTAGAATCCTCAATCTCCCAAGCCACTGGTAGAGGAAATTGATCATGACCACAAACCACAAGGGATTAAGAAAAAAATTTTTTGTATCTAAATTATATAATATACTGGAAATTCCATTTATTAATAAGTGCCTTATAATTTATATGCATTTATCGATTATATTTCATACGATTGTTCTCTAGCATTAAAACTCAATATTCTTGACAAGGATTTCGTCGAGAAAAAATGAAGAACAAATTCATATGATTGATAAGTTGGTATTGTGTGCGTCTCCGCTGGGGAAACGTATCACTCAAAAATAACCGACACATTGAGGTCAACATTTCAGTCTTTACACTTGTTTTAAATATAAAGTTAAAAAAGCGTTTTTGATTTAAAACAAAATTAAATCCCATGTAGAATAGGATCTAAAAAAAAGAAAATTAAAAAAATTACCTGGGTACCAAGGGGCATTCCAGGTGAATCATGAGCAGGTCGAAGGTTGTCTTCAATATATGTTACTTCTAAAAGCAAATGAAAATCAGAAAACAAAGGAAAAAAAAGACCTAAAAAAGTGATTGGTTTAGTGAAATATCTTACCACTATTTGCCTGTTCCATATGCATGCGATGCACCTCAGGTGGCATTATAAAAGAGGGATGTGGTAATGAATGTGGTGCTTCTTGAGTTGGATATCCTTCACAATAAAATGGCAATGATGGTTGAACATAAAATCCATCACCAGTACCATCTAAAACAATAAATTGATTATTCATTTATGTAAATTAGAAAAAAAATTTTTTTAATATTATTCGGAGAGAAATATGAAAAAAAATCTAGTTTTTGCTTCCTAAATTAGTGAACAATTTAGGGGCTTAAGCCTAAGCCTAAGCTTGAACCATACATATCCAACAATTTTCCAAAGTACCATGCAAGAATTCTTTTATGAAAAAGATCCTTTTATTTATCACCACTTTTTTTGGTTTGGCTGTTTCAATTGACTTTAGAAAATGAAATCTTTTCGTCAGAGAATCAGTAATTCTGGAGAAGTGAATGTCCAAAACATTCATTATGAAGACGATTCTCATAATCGCTTCACTGATATTATTTATTTATTTCAGGATATAATGCTTTAATTATTTATTTATTTCAGCGACTAGTTCATTGGTGATGTACTATAGAAAATTCTCCAATAAGTCAATATCTTGTGAACAATCTGCAGATCTATGCGATAATCAGAAAATCACCTGCCTGTTTTCCTAAAAATGGCGCAATAACAATTGACAACCCCGATTAACATCATAAAAACGACCGTTAAATTGACCTTTAGCTTAATCTGTATTAATAAGCTGATCAACCATGCATTTTAAGCAAGTTATTATAATCTTTGAAATGAAGAAATTATAATCTTTTCATAGTCCATCTTACTACCACTTTAGTTAAAGATGGATCACTAAGGCTAATAAAATCTTTCGATAAGATGCAAGAGATGCAATCCGTCAAACTTTTTTCTTAACTATACATGCAATCTTTTCTAATCACTAATCTTTAATTATCGTAATAATTGTTATCATTATCATTGATCATTCATTGACAAATCTTAATTGTTTAATTTTGGCTTTTAGACTCCAATATTATAAAAATAGATCCATTTCTAAACATTCAGTCAAACTCAGAGATATTTGCTGTAAATTTTTGTTTTCCAGAAAGATCGAAAAAGGCCAAAGTTGCATATAAGATCCATGTTTTTCTGCTAAGTGAATCTTTGAAATTATATATCTATTCAAATTTATTAAATGCATTAAGATTCAGTTAATTCGCACCAGATTTCGAATATGAGCGAAAAAAATCAGAAAAATAGACCGTGAGCAAAAATTTCTCCTTGTGTCGCACACATCTCATCTCTACTGCCACCGCGGCTCCTTCTTGTCGGCCTATAACCACCATATCGTAATTGTTTCATTCGTCTCTCCTTACTTCTTCGATTTTGGAACCAAACCTAAAATTATCAATTCACGATAAATTCGGTTTTTTATACTAATAAGAAAAATTTAAAAAAATAACTCTTTTCTTCTGTTCTTAAATGTTTTTTTCAAATATATTTATTTTATTTATTATATATATATTTAATATATATATCACTGATTTTTTCACTGATTTTTCAGTGAATTGTAAAAATGACCCGATGGAAATAAGTGAAAAATATTAATGATTGAAACGGTTAATCGAGAAATAAGAGGTTCCCTGAGAAAAATGACAAACGCATCGACTCATGCAGATTTGCTATGCTTTCATCCTGAACCTTAAGTATACGGTAAAAATATAATGGTATTTTCCCTCGAGAGGCAGGTGTGAATGAAGGATCATTAAAAATAAGGAGCACCATAGAAGAGTAAATTAGAATGGGGAATGTGGAGTGCGCACAGCTCATTTCCCAACAAATTTAATCAAACGAACCAAATGCAGCGAGTACATTTCAACGAGCCGTATAATCCTCATTATCTATTTCCCCTTCCTATTTTATTTACCTCTTTTTATAGTATTCTAAAATCGAATTTATATCCTCGTAAATTTATAATCCTTTCACTATTTTCCCTCTAAATTCCTTTTCTTACCAATTTTTCCCATTTTTAATTTCATTTAACTCAAAACTTTTCCTCATGTTTTTTTCAGTAATTCATTTTTATTACTTTTTTTTCCAGCTGAATTTTTATTTTATTTTTAAAATGTGGCTTATTTTTGTTAAGAGAACATGGACCAAGCAATCTTAACAGATACTGTCGATCAATTATTATTCCAAGTTTCATCTACCTATTAGTCAATAAATCCCTCTAATGCTTTTTATTTTTTCAGATTTTATTCCCTTTTTTTCAAAATATTCTATTAACAAATCAGATTGAAATTTGAAATTCTTACTTGAAATTTCAAATTCTCTATCTGAATTTTTAGACATAAATTTAAATTAATTTAGAAAATTTAAATAAATATAAATAATATTTTTTGCGAATTTTATTAGAGCATCTTCAATTTTCATTCAAAAATAAATATATTTCTAATTCTATTTATACTTTATATATTTTCATATTATTGTCCACAAATAAATAAATACTGAAAATTTTCACTGCGCTCATGATGAAAGGGAATTTCAAAAAATTAGAAATTATGGTAAATTAGCTTATGCCTATGCCGATAAAAAAAAAGTTGAGAGACAAACTTGGGAAAAAAATTTTCTTGAAATCATAATTTTCATACAAAATAAGAAATTTTATGAAATTAATGAAAAATAACAAAATTATTCAAATAAAAGGTAAGCTGAAAATTTCGCTTTAGCCAATTTATTCCCTCATAATCCGTCAGTGATCCTGGATTGCATAATCCATTAGCAATATTGGATTTTGATTGGCTAACGGGCGACTACGACAATCAGAGAGAGATAACTCATGAAAGGCATTAAATTCTCGTAACTAATAATCACTTCTGCAGTCCAAAAAGTGTTGATAAATTAATTTATCGACGTAACAATTCGTATAACTTAACAATAAATTATGTTTAACAATGGGCGCAATCGACTGGAAAGAAATATTAGTTGCTAAGGATTCTGTTGGAATACGGTAAAGGTAAAATGAAAAACGAATACGATTGTCAGATTTCCTATCGAATTTTCATATATTAATCACATGAAATATAAATAAATATTTTTTGTTAGGAATGATGGATTTATGAAATTTCAAAGAATGGATTCTCCAATGAATTTTTCTCTTCCTAAAAGGAGTCGCTAAAATTCGTTTTCGAAAATTTAACATAATAATGGATGAAGTTTTAAGGAATGTTGAAATTTGCCTGTATGACTCGCATATTTAAACCAGTTTCCTGTGCTAACTGCTCCCTGATGTGTCTTGTCGGTTTTGGTGTCGAAGCAAATGCTGCTTTCAGCGTGTCCAACTAAAAAATTTCAATAATATTAATAATATTTATTCCATAATAATAAAAATTTTTTATCAATATTTATTGATAATAATAGAATATTGATAATGATTTTTTATAAATAATATAATATTAGCGAGGAATAAGATAATATTATTTTCTTTTATTATTATTATTTGATGGTGTATAGCGATTGTTCTCCTTTTCGAAATATAGCTTTTCGAAAATTTCTCTAGCGAATTAAAAGTAGTGGTAGAGTAATGCCACTTGAATTTCTTAATAGGCTGCTTCTTTCGGAAATAGAAATTCAAGCATTTGTTTTTATACTAATTCTAATTTCTCGATCGTATTTATTCATTTTAAGGTCAAAGCTATATTTCTTTTGATTTGAATTTTTTCATCGAAAATCCACTTTAAGGATAAAAAGAGGATTAAAGAATAAAAATATGAGACGATTTTGGATGAAAAAAAAGTGGAATTCGCGGTGGAAAAAGAAAGGTATCGATTACGATGCCAATTTTGTCGTTTATAAATCATTCGCGATGATTACGATACCTGTTTAGCTTTGATTGTTGTCCTAGGACCACGCCTTTTCGCTGATGCCGATAGATCATCCATTTTATTCGAACAAATTGATTCACCACTCATTTCTTGTTGACCTGTTGAATTTGATTCTTCTGCAAAAAATTATTAAATATTATTCTGAGAGAGATCAAAGAAATACTAAATACTAATTTCTAATATTAAATAAAACCACATATATATAATTTTAAAAATTTTAGACTTAGGTACCATTGTTTTCGAGATCTTATTCTTTGATAAGATTTAGAAGCGCTTCACTCCTAATTTGTTAAAAAACTAATCACACTGGCGATTATCAATGAAAATGAAAATCATTAAAGAATCCAATTCATAAAATACTGGTTGCCAAGTGAGATCCAAAATGCCCACTTTTTTTGAAATTCCCAATATTTTTCGAGAACTTTTCTTGAATATTCACTTTTTTTTTTATTTATCTAAATTTTATTATCTTAAAATTTGATGTTTATATTTTCAAATATTTTAAATAATTCTGGACTATTAATTTCTCCGACATCTTCCTAACGAATAACCAATTTGAATTATATAATGCAAAAATCCCTCTTTAGATTTTATTTATTGTTTTATATTTAACAAAATAAAAATTGGCAAGGTTGATGTGTACCCGATAAATTGCAATAAATCTAACTAAAATTACCAATATCATCGCTTGCTGCGTCGCAATCTTCATCGATGTCTTCTGATCCGCATTCTGAGTTTGTACCACCTGAGTGATCTAAATTTTAAATTTTAATCATAATCGATCTTCGATATGTCCTATCTTCGATATGAATAAACCTAAGTGCTGAAAAACTTTAATGGATAAAGTAGCAAGAAATTCCGAATAAAAAAATGAAAAATGAAAAAAATCAATTGATGCAGTTTATTAAGAAGAAACTGGATTCATTATCAATGTGACATCCATAATTAATTTCATTGTAGATATATAACCGGAAGGTAAAGTTTATTATTGAGTAATATTTATATTTATAAGAAATCAAATAATATTATTTAATGATCCAAAAAAAGATATAAAAAATATGTTTGCAAATATGTCTATAACTTGCGTAATCAGATGTCACTAACCAAGAAATAAGATAGGACAGAGAAGGGAAATAGGAAAACCGAATGGCAAGCATATTGTTTCGACTAAAATCGAGCCATCATAATCCAGATTCGTGCTTGATCCATTAATGAAATTAAAGAGTTTCATTGGAAATCCGTTTAGAAACCCACTTACACTTCTAGCTCCAAGTCAACCTTTCTCTAATTTGTAATTTTAGCCATTCGAAGCAAAAAATGGTGAACATTGTCCAAAAAACTAGGATTTTAACTGAATTTGAGGCTATATTGCAGTTATTTATGGTAGCCTCTTTAGCCTAAGTGCATATTTGTTCATAAACAGATAGGAATGACTCTATATGAGAAATAGAAATAGAATCAGCTGATTGAGTCATTTTCTTGTAAGAACCAAATTCTAATTGTCTACCATAGCCGATTAAAATTACCGATTCATTATTGTTATCACCATTCATTATTGATAGAAAAGGACATTTGGAAGTGTCCTTGACAAAACAATGCGGCAATCCCAAAAGCATTTATACAAATGATCGTAATCGATTAACGATGATATATGGACATCTGAGGAAATAAAAGTGCATTAGTATGAAAACAAAGAACTGGCAAAGAATAACAAATTGTAAATGAGGATTAAGCAGCAGCATTGTTGCACCAAAAAAGGAGAAAATCTTAAATTTCGATTAAATAAAGCAATAAAGAAACGGTCAAACGACCATTTGTTGACTCATTTCTGATATTTTATACAACTATTTTTGGCAGATGGTAGGTAATTAATTAATGTAAATATTTTTATTGAACTAAACTCATAAACTTCTTTTCTTTTATCTATGAATATAATCAGTGCAGAGTAAAAATAGCAAATATACTAAGATTAGAATTTTAGTGATATCCAGAAATTTGCATGAATGGAATATGATAACTTGTAGCGAAAATAGCAACATTTTTGTTGGTACTTAAAAGTTCACTACTAAATCATCTGAAATAATAAGCCATAGAATTGTACTTGGTTTAATTTCTTCGGATGCAGAAGATTTATCTATCCATCCATCTACACTACAATCTCAAATGACTTTCAAACGATGAAATCTCATCCTAGTAGCCAGTAGAATTATTTAAAGAGTAAATAGTGAGAAAGTACGATATCAATAGTAATTAAGAACAATTTAGGCTTTTCTTATGAAATAAAAAGTCCAATGAAAAAAATCAGATAAGGAAGAATTAATGAATCAATGCATGAAAAGAACGGGAAAGGAAATCAAGAAGTGCAAAAAAAGAACAGAATTATAAGAACGAATTATTTATCTAAGATAAACAAAATTTGGCAAGAAATTTTCGACTGCTTAAAGGGAAAAAAAAAGCTTCCATGAGCGACATAAGAGTCCTTGAGGAGAAAAACGGAAAAAGTGAATGCAGCTGTGTTCAATGATCATCTACAGTATCATGCTGTGAATTTTTTCGAAAAAAACTACCAAAAAACCTGGAAAAAAAAGATCCTTTGCCCGGCTGGCTAACTAAAATTATTTTTCATTCAAAAATACTCCAAAAAAAAGTTTCTCTTTTAAAAATTAATTCCTATTGCGACGATATTTTTAGTGAATTATTTATTTCCGATAACTATTTCCATCATAAATTTCAAACTTTTTTTATAATCGATCGAAATATTTTATTTAACTATTGTACGACTTCGATTGAGATCAATTTCATATGCGACATTACCGACCGTTTATTTTCTATGATTTGATTTGATTGACATGATATGATATGATATGATATGATATGAAAGAGAAATAGATCAGTTTCAATAAAATTTTTTATTTATCATATTGGATGTTTTAGATATGCGACTCTCGGGAATTGATTATGTTGACAATTTCAATAAAGTATAACTCATTTCTCAGTACTAATTCATAATAGCGATTTAAAAAAGTAACAAAGTAATTATGGGATTTTATTAATTATTTCTTAATTTCTGCTAGAAATATAGTCAATGATTTTGTAAAATTTTATTTATTTTCTTTTTTTATGATTAATTTCGTTTAGATTATTCAAAAAATTAAAATTAATATTTTTATTTTTATGGATCGCTTTAATTTTAAATCAAATTTTTTGGCTACAAATTCGAAACTAAACGATACACTTAATAAATAGTTTGAAGGTATGGAAAAGTATTTGTATGATAAAGGAGATATTTCAGATTTTTTTTTCATGCGCAGTATTAATTGTCTGCTAAGGTTGCTTAATTAATCTTTTTAAAGAAACGCATAATACTTGTCAATATTTTGAACATAAATTCCTTAGTATATAATCTATAAGAGTTTCGGAAGTTTATTGGCAACCAGTACGAGATTTAAAATTCTCCCTACAAATTTCTATGCGACTTGTTTTTTTCCTTCAGACTTCAAACATCTTTGTAAATAATCGCTTCGGTTCTATTATAACATAGTTTATTAGATTTAATATTGGCGAATAGTTACCAGGGCAACGAATAATACTGTTCCAAAAATATAATCTAACTATGGTGATGAATGACAAGATCGCTATTGGATAATCTATATTGCTCAAAAATCCAGAATTTCCGAAAAGATTTTTATCTTTGGTTCATAACTATTGTTTCTTGTTTACATATTTCATGTTTCTATTGATATGTGTCCCATAATCCAGAAGTCTGCTTGGAATTATGAATTGTAACGATTCTAAAAAAAAATTTAATGAATCCCAAAAAATAAAAAATTTTTCGAAAAGATCACATTAGATCAAACAGAAGGTATATTAAATAAATTTAAAAGATATGATAGGATAAGTGATTAGGGAAGGTAGGGAATGTTTTGCATATGATCGCTTGAGATGGATTTTGATGGATATTGTGGCTCAGCATCCAAATTATATCTATGATTTCCCTCGGTCTTTCAGCAGTCTTGTCTGTTATTTTATTCCAGCTTTCCTTCTATCACAAAGATTCGTATTTATTGATGACTCAAGTCATCCATATAGCTTGTTCATAAATCTTCTCAAAAGCTTTAGTGACTGATCGGTGCTTGTGAAGGATTTACGTCACTATATTTGCATAATATGCATGATGAAATGTGTCCTTATCCCTCAACGGCTTGATCAATAAGCTTTTTTCGATTTTATGGGATTGCATAAAGTATTACCTAAAAGATTTGAATTTTTTTCCAGTGTGATTTGTTTTTAAACAATATAAATATGAAATTAGTGAAAAATAAATCTAATAATCTCATAATTTTAGAAAAAAAGAGAAAAAGCTTATAGAACTTTAGAAAAAGTTTATACAAGATGGTTTCAAAAGTTAGAAAAAATAGAGGACGATGTTTTGAGATTTGCTATCGTTTACTAATTATTGTGAACTCAGGTTCTTACGGCAAAAATGGTTTTCTTCTTTAATTGTATAAAACTTAACTTAACTTTTAACTTAACTTAACCCAACTTAAAGATTTCTATTTTTATTTACCATTTCTAAAAGATTTTATCTTTTTCTGGAACACTCGCTTTGGCCATCGCTAATTTAATGCTTTTTTATAAGTATTTAATTTTCTAGTCCACATAAATATATGCTATTTTTTATAAAAAATTTTATGAATAAATGAAATATAGAAGAAAGTATTACGATAAAATATAGCTTTTAGCTTTATTTCACACATAGATTAGTTTCGATTAGCCTGAGGTGATATGAAAAAATCAATCAATTTCTAAAATATTGGCCAAATAGCTCATAAATTAGTTAATGAACTATCCATCCATAATTATCTAATTCGATAATTAGACAATGAGCAGCATAAGACAGAAAAATAACAGGCCATATTTCAATTTGATTTGGTTAACTAGCAAATGTGCACAATTCAATTAATTTATATGACCTCATTAGAAAATCGCTACTTTAATGCTTTTTATAAGTATTATTTAATTTTTAGTTCATATAAATATATGTTACGCGCTTCTCATAAAATTTTTTTATGAGTAATGAAGTAATAGAAGATAATATTCGGACAAAACATAGTTTTAGCTTTTAAAATGCTTATTAATAGAATTTTTTCATAGTAAATAGCGATTTTTCCAATTTTTTCATATAATTTCAAATAAAAAAATTCATTTCATTTCCACATATTTGCTTAAAAAATGAATGAAGAAATAATAAGTTGCTTATGGTGCTTTGGCGTAGGTCAAAGCACTCAAAAGAATAGAATCAAAGTTGGTTTGAATTTAATAAAAAGCATTGATAAAGTAAGAATTAAGAAAATTGTGAAATTTTGTGAATAATTTAAGTGATAAGCGTTCAGCATTTCCCTAGGATTTTTTTTAATGCTAGGTTTATTCCTGCAATTAAAAAAAGGAGTCCGACGTCTGTTCGAAACAACCATACCACTCACTAATATTTCTGCACCAGAGGTGATTTTGATTACTTGATTAGAATGTGTAAAATTAGAATTTTTTTAAATGAAATCGCTCTTATCAAAAAGCTAAAAATTCTGTACATTGATCGATTTAGTATTAAACTCTAAAATGTGAAGAATATCAGGTATGAATAAATAATGGTATATATTCAATAGAGATGGCTTATAATCTTGTTGAAATCGCGCAACGATAAAAGAGGTAATAGGATGAGGTTAAGAGGGTTACAAGTGAGGACAGATGTAAATAGAAATGCAATGAACCGGATAGCAACAGAAAGATTAAGTGACACAAACATATAATCAGATTATGCTTTTCTATTCAAATGAAAGGCCGGAAGGGTATTAAACTTGGAGAACACATGGAGAAAAACGCGATAAATAAAACTGAAAAAAAATTATGGCTTTAAATTATGATTTAAGATTCAAAATTATCAAGCAATTTATAAATTATTTCGGAATTTTCACTGAATCAAAACTTATCATGCAGAAATTAAATTAATTAAGCTATAATTAAAGCTAGAAATTGATGCCTTTTAGTTTGACCAAATCTATTTTAGCCTTACTACTGTTTAGAGAAAATAAGGCCAAAATGGTGCAATAATGCATAAAGCCGATGTAAAAATAAAAAATAGATAAAAAAAAAGGTGGATAGACTGAAGAAATTTTTATTTCTCAATAGCAGTTGTGATACTCACTCAATGTATTTGCATAAATTCTCAAATTAAAATCCTATTGTATTAAAATTATGAACCGTATAATGGAACAGATTTTTGAAGCAATATTCAAACAAAATTAAATCTTACTGACTGTTTTGGTTCAAGTAGAAAATTAAAGGTGACAACGAAGATATTGATAATGATAAATACTGATAAGAATTATATAAAGGCAAATAATGATGAAATATATAATAATAAAATAAAAACTTCAGAGTACTCCAAAGAAAATAATGGAATAAGTAGTCTTTTTGCAGAAAGCAAAATCTTGAATTATTATGGAACACCAGCGAATAGCTTTTGAACGTATAGGGGAATCACCGATATTTGGACATAGACGATGGAAAAAAGAATGGCTTCTTTATTACCAGAGATGGCGCCGGACCGGGCAGCTTGGAGACATCTTACTTTTATAGCCAGCGGAGCCAGCCTAACCAGTAATGGAGTTGTTAAAAGAAGAGGAACAGCGAATAGAGATTACATGGACGGCAGTTTCTCTAAAATTTGACCAATTCATGCTTTCTAAATAATATCAGAATATCAGAATTTTAAAAGAAATTTCACAGACCTTTTTTTGTTTGATTCCAATTTTGATCGATTCCTTCACTATTTGTGCTACATTCTGGAAAACTTTTTGCTATAAAATAAAAAAATTGAGAATCTTTTATCATTTCTTTTTTTTTCGTTTTTTGTACCGTTTTTTTTATTTCCTGTCTCTTCCAACTGTGATCACTTCTATATTTCTCTTAAGAAAATATTTTGAGAGTAATTTATTTAACAAGTGATTTTACATGATCGTAATTTTGCATGAATTTTACCTGAGCATATTTGATGGGAAATATTAAAAATTATTTTTAATATTAAAATTCTTTATTTATTTTTTGAAAATAATTCTTTTTGGCAATAATACCATCTTAGTGATTGCCAAATATTTATTCTCGAAATTTCCACTAGAATCAATATAAGAAAGCTCACCAGGATTCGACAGATAATCGTTTTTGCATATAAATCGATTCCCGTTCAAGATATAAAGCTGCAAAAAGAGAAACGGCTTGTCAGAGTTCATGACACCTTCCCCTGGGACAGCTATCAGTCTAACATATAACTCCCATATCTCCATCATTTTATGGCAGTGGGCTTGCATAGAGACCTATTGGAATGATAAATGGTGTTTTTGATATCCACTTTCCATGAGATTTCCTTTTTGCTTGTAAATAACATTTCAGTATATTATGTTTCCAAATTCCGCGAAAATCAGTCACATGATAATATTTCCCAGATTAACAGGATTCATGAATATTTTGTCGCAAACTAGCCTAGTTTCATATTTTAGCTAGCAGAACATACAAAGCAGATTTTTGGAAGTGGTTTTAGTTGCATCTTACTTAAAAAAAAACAATTAAACAATTAAAACTGACTTGCTCTCCAGTATCCAATTTTTTTTGACATATGGTACATTGAAAGCACTGCACATGAAAAATTTTGTCTCGAGCTCGCCTTACGAGATCATTTCTATCTAATGCCATATTGCAACCAGCGCAACGTGTTCCAAATCGCCTAAAGCAGAGAACTTTTATATTTTGCTTGATTTTTTCTACAGCGAAAAAATTTTCATTTTCCAACAAATCGCTAAAATTATTGATTTAATTTATTCTCATGATTTTGTATAAAAATTGAACAAAATTTCCAGAAAATTTTCCTTAAAAATTACAACAAAGCGCTCGCATTAGCAATTAGATTAACATTAATATTAACTGATAAACAAAAAGCCTCTAATTGAAACCATTTATAATGAAATAAATAGATATTAAAGAATTGACGCAAAATTGTTCAAAAATAGCAAAATAGTGCTATGATTTTCGAATATAGACAAAGCATAAGGTTGATTTCATAATTAATTCACCGAAGCTCAATAAGTTATATTTTTGAAAATACCAACTAAAAATTTTTAGCTGAGACAGCGATGCAATAATTCTTTTTTGGAAGATAGTTAAAAAGTGGCATTTGTCCTAAAATATGCACCATGGGAATTGTAATGATTTTCGTCGATTGTGTATAAAGCAGTAAATTCAATTGAAAATTTTAAAAATCATTCATATATAAATTCATTAATTATTGATTGTAACCGAGTGAATTTTGTAGTTTTTAGCAGCGTTTCAACAAGAATTTTTCCAAAAACTAAGGAAGCTTACAGTTATTTCTCGGTTTATCCCTATTAAAATATTTTCTTCAACAAAGAATGTATTACGCATTCGATATCAATCGAAATGAACTAAAATAGCGTAAAATTAAATGGAATCAAATGCATAATATATCTGTGCACCTTATTTCGATTAATTACACTTTTAAAAAATTTTAAAAGTAAATTTTAAATAATAGATTTAACAATTGAAACGTGTCTTAAAGATAAGATATTTGTCTTATCTTGTCTGAAATGCAAATAATTTTAAGGATTTCTGAAGATTAACTTTGGATGTAATGATTAATTCTTAGCGGATTTTTCGTGCAACATAGAACATCAAGATTTTCGCGAAATTTTGGTTTTAAAAGTGATGTCGGCTCATTTAAGCGACTTACTGATGGATATCAGTTTTTTGCTCGTTTAGATCAAATCACTAGAGCCTTTTATAGAAGCAAAAAATCAATGCTTCAAATTCAAGCCAAACTCTTGCATCTATTTGATTCAGGTTTCGAGCAAAATCGAAAATTTCATGCTAAGAATGCTGTATAGTATGCTGAGAAAACTTGTGAGAAAATAGAGCAGAAACAACTTAAAAAAAAAAAATGATGCTGTTTGAATTCAACAAATGTTAAGACCACCAAAGTGAATAAGTGATATTACAGTTTTTGCAATATAAAACGTCTTACCTCGAGAAATCCTTCCGACATAATATTAAATCATCACGTGAGAAACAAGTTTCAGTCAAAAGTTCTTTGCAATCAGCGCATCGTATGCATGATGCATGCCATGTCTTATCTAATACATGAAACACATAGCGATCGAGTATTGCCGTATTGCAACCACCGCAAATCGCCATCATTAATTATTTAAATCCATCAGCCATTACCGAATTTCATAGAATATTCTTTCTTATTTTTTCGAATTATTTTAGAATTTTCGAATTAAAAAAGCGAAATTTAGCAAATTTTGGCGAAATTCATTGGCGTTTTAAGCCAAAAAAGCTAACAAATTTTGTTAATAATTAAGCGTTTTATATAGTTCAATTCAGGTGAAAATTAAATATTTATAGAGGCATGCAATTGACGAGAAGACAATAAAATAAAATATAGACACCAACGACGGAGATGGGAAGTACGTTCAACGACAAAGGCGCTTGTCCGGAAAAATATCAACGATAACGAAAATTTTTATAGATTTGGGCGGAGTTAGTTGCCTTATAAAATACGGTATCTTCTACCTCGATTAATATTTATTTTTACCCTCTTTAAGTATCGTTTTTAGTGCTATTCCTTCCTCTTCCATTCCTCTTCGCTTGTAATATTTTCTGCAATTTTTTTTCTGCTGTATCCTACAATATGTATGTGCATGTGTAGATGTGCATATCACCACATGCTAAACATACAAATTTGTCAATTTTTTCCGCGAAGAAAATTTCGCGCAAAATTTACATTCGATGATTTTGGTAAAAAAATTGAGCATCTTGTCGATTTTTCTTTCTTGTTTCAGTACCACTGAAGTAGAGCAATATAAGCGAATATTAGATGGTCTTGAGGACTCCATTTGACTTAATGATTTCACAATAAAATTCTATAATTCACCAAATTCAATTTCAAGAAATCGGATTGGATATGTTTTGATATAAAGGCAGAATATTATTCGGTGTTAATTATAAAAATAGCTGTTTTTCGCTTAGTTTAGTAGCATAAAAAATTAAAATTTCAAAGATTTTTTTTCTGTCAAAAAACTTATTTATTCTTAAAATTTATATTCATTTTATTTCGCCAAATATGAAAAATATATAACAGAAATTTCATATTTCAAACGTATATCACTTTTTATCAATGTTCTTAGTTTAATGCATCTGTTGAGATAATTGAAAAGTTTAATGAATGCAGCCACCGTAGTATTCGGTTTAATTTTTAAATTGATATACTTGTTCCATCTGATGGTGAATCGATTAAAATGGGCTTATCTAGCGTTTCATATGACCCTAAACTTCGGGATAAATATTTTCGAGCGATAATTTCATGCATTTTCATGTTTGAACAAGGAATAATTCTAAAAAATACTGAAGAGGAAATTATTATCAGAACCTTATATGAGAAAAAATTGAAAAAATGTGGAAAAAACGCAGAAAAAGGCGCTTATAATAGATGAGAAATTTATGAGCCTGGAAAGTATTCCAAATGATAAATGTGATACATCGGAAACGATGAATGATGATCCTTAAGAGATCAAAATGCTTCGAACATTTTTCTTCGGTTATCAATGATCAGCTTATCTGGATATTACATATAATTTTCTTCCATCATGGATCTGGATCTGCAAGAATCTATTTTATAAAAACCATCGAAGCATAATCACTTTCATTAATTGAATCTATCATTATCTTTAAAAGATAAGGGATTGTGGTGGTCACGGCACGTTAAAGCTGCATTTATTATTAGTCATAAGCGCCTTATTATCTGGATTTAGCTAGTCGGATCTTACCTTCTGTGATATTTAAGGAAATAAATAAAAAATAAAGAAATAAATAGAAAAAAGATCGTAGAATAATGAATTGCAAAAAATTGGCTGACGACAAGGTTAAACGAAGGATGTTGTATGACTGTTAAGTGGCAAAAACATCAGGGGGCATATACATATAAAATTTCAGAGAATTCGATTTATACAATCGCCGATTTGATAGAAAAAATGAAAAGATTATAATGATATAGAAAAATTTCTGTTTTCTTTTTTCCATATTGCGAATACTGTCTGCAAAATTTTTTCAATTCTCCCATCTGAATTTATTTCAGTATTTCTAATATTCTTGGCATTTGGTGCATTGATGCTTTGCCAGTTTAGATTACAAGAAAATGTCTTATGTGTATGAGCAAACATGCTTTAAAAAATCCGAGGATTTATTTGTACTTCAATCGTGAAGTGAAAAAAAATTGTCCAGTAAATTATTGACAAGGTGTTGAAGCAAAATTTGTTTGACTCAAGAAATCAGCGGAATAAGCTCAACTAGAAGCTGAAGTCGAAATAAAAATGATTTAATAATGAATAGGGAACGAATCTCGTTGACCAATGGGGACAAAATCTTCCAGTCTTTATTTTATGTTAATTTGAATAGTATGTATTATAATATTATCATCATAAAATCGGAAAACAGAATTTATACTTCGCGAATTTCGTGGAGTGAGAAATAACCGACATGCCTCGATCTTCCAATAAATCATTTCTTAAAATTGATACTTATTATTTGCCAAATATAATTTTCTAAATGCCAAGGTTTTTTTTCTAATTATTCTATAAACGTTTTCTTTTTCTACTAATGGTACTAATCTTTTTTTAGTTAGCTGCCTTCAGTGGATATAATGATGAAATTTTTCTAATTTAAGGAGAAAAGTAAAGGGCTGATCCTTAGTATGACACAGACTTTCAGTATCAAAATTATCTGATTCAACTATTTGTCATTAAATTAGGATTAGGAGAATTGAACCCACGATGCTCAAAGTAATTGTTGAAGCAAGATACCACTCGATTGCACCTTACACACCTTAAGGGTAACTTTCATAAGTCATTGTAAGTTAAACAATATAAGGAATAAGAGTTAAGAAATATTTTAAAATAATTATGATAAATAATGTATAAGTTCAATAATGTTCAGTGATGATTGGACGAAATTTTAATTAATAATTTAATTTCATAACACTATGATTGAAAATAATAAGAAAAAAATACCAATGTTATAAAAACCAATCAAAATAGAAATATAAATTTTGAATAGATTCAAAATTGCAAATCATTTCAAAGCATTTTTCAGTAATCTGAAAGCGATATTAAGGTGATGAAATTTTTTTCAAGAGTTGCTGGCTTTGGTTTCAAAGCACAGGTGAATGGTTAGCATCATCCGGATTTTTAGGATACAGGTTTTTCCTAGTCTTAAAATTGGCGCTCCGTACCTACTGAGCCATTCTATTTCCCTTTAGCCGTTTAGCAATGCTCCTCCCGAGGAAATGTGGTGAAATGTGACTCGAACTCGAACTATTTTCGATTCTAGGTAACATTTTATTAAACACATTATTATGGGATTTTATAACCAGTTTAACCGTGGAAAAAGATAATTTTCATATAAATTTCTTTAGATTAAAAGAAGATATGAAGAAGAATAAAAACTATTGACTATTGAGAACTTAATCTCGTCTTATCAATAATAAATATTCCTCTGAAATATTGTCTTAGATGGTTAAATACCCAAAAAAAAACAGAAATTCATTTTAGTTTACAATTTTTCATGATATGTTAAATTTTCCCAGTTCTCAGCGGGACATTATTTGGAATATAATCTGTGTATGAATTTTTTTTCAGGTAGTTTCATTACAATTTAGACGATGTTTATCGAATAAGTACCAATTTTTAACAAAAATGAACAAAAGAAAAAACTACTGAAAACTATTAGAAAATTAGAGCAAAAAATTTTCACCAACGCTATTTATGAATTATCCAAAACGATATTAAAATTTTTAAAATATTAATTTTTATATGAATTTTAATAATTTTAAAAATAAATTTTTGCCATAAAATTTAAAAAAAAAAGTCATTCATATTCTTAAAAAAATTGGTGCTTAGTTTAGAATCAATCTCTTATAAATATTTATAGAAGAATAGACAAATAAAAGATATATTTGACGTGATAAATGATGAATTATCTTCCATTAAATTATTGCTATCAGACAACAAACGTGTAATAGAAGAACAATCGAAACCTTTATAATGTCAATCAATTCGATTTCATCCTTTTCTTTTCAAAAAAATTGATAGATTTCGTTCGCTGGAATATGTTGGAAGGAGCAAAAAACCCTCTACGATCCAATATATTCAGAAAAAATATTATAAAGTTGAAAACATATAATTTATCATAGTTTTCATTACCAAGCATTGGACCAGCAGATAAGATAATATATAAATTCGTTAGCACTTGACCAATAAAATATTCATGGACTTTGTATTTTCCCGTGCTCTTATAGTCCAATAAAAATATGGTCGGAAATAATCTACAAGTGGAAAAAATTTGTAGGTTACTCACATGCAGTAAATGACATTATTCAGTAATTGATTGGAAACTGATTGACATATCCCAATTTTCGAAATATTCATGGAATCTATAGAAATATTTATAAAAATATTTAGGTTCCCTAAAATATAACTCCAGAATGGCTTTTTTCATAGCGCTTTCGGAAAAAAATTTTTGTTACATTATTATGAATTATCCTCTTTTTCTGTCGAATATAAGCTGTGGAATATAAAAATTTATCGAAAAAAATATAATTTCTCCAAAAAATTTCATAGAACAATATGATAGAAATTTTTTTACAAAGCCTTATAGGAATATAAAAATTTTGTTGTATGAGCAATTCAAAAAAATACAAAGAATAAGTACAAGAAAGAAAGGTTTAAATAATGAAAAAATTATTATTCGAATCACATCAATCCTCCGAAATTCTTTCTCATTTTTGGAAAAACAAAGCTATATTTTCGAAACCTGCACCTTTTAATCTGCACAGCGTTCATCACTTATCACAAAATCCATCGAATATTAGAAAGACTTCAGTCAATTTCTAATCTGTTTCCACTTCAACTGTAGCAGATTTTTGCTTCTCATTTTTATCTGGAGTGGTTGGTATTAAAGCAGGGAGCACAGGTAAATCACCCGAATAATCAGAATCATTATCCGAATCAGAATTTGAACTGAAATCAAATGAGAGTGAAAAATAAATTCTATAAGCAGAGTATTTTTTTAAAAATTTTTTCCTTGATAATTTTAAAAGAGTTCAATAAACCAAGAAAAAAATTATAATAAATTGGAAGATATTGAGCAAACCTTGAAGATGCATAATTTGCAATACCAGGTAACATGCCGACAACTTTCATAGCAGTCGGCCTCGTTGCAATAATTTGTGATCTAATACTCATTAATGTTTTTTTGCTTCCATTTTCGTAATCTTCAGTGATACTAAGTAAATAATAAATTAAAAATGGCTCCATGCATGAAATTTTCTTTATATTTGCAGCATAATTAAAATATTTCCAAAACAACTTCCGAGCCAAACAGATTTATATAACCTTTTTCGTTTGATGGCCCCTTTTAACAATTCGGCTTGCCTATTCGGGCGAGGAGGTCCATCACGAACTGCCTTAAAACGTAATCGTGATACTGAAGGTACTTTATCATCAGGGATTGTTCGACAACGCGCTCGTTCAAACTCGCTTAAAACTGCTGCTTCTTCCTTTAATTCAAGTATTTTCATATAATAGCTAAAATTTATTTCTTCGCCTACTGAAACTTAAGTACGGGAATTCTGTATAAAAATAATGGTAGCGGCGATGAAATCAACATACATTTTATCATAAAATTAATGAAATTGAAAAAGAACGAAAAAAACGCTTGAAACAACAAACTTGTTTTTTCTTTTTGTCCTCCTTCTCTTTCATATTTTCAAAACTTGAAAGAAATTCACATTCTTCAGAATCCAAACCTCGAATCATGTTCTCTATAAAATATCTGTTAAAAAACATTTAGCGAAAATTAAATTTCAAAATAAGTTGAATTTTTCAAGATTTTTCAATAATAATACAATAGAGTCAACGTAATAATCTCTTTCTCTTTCTGAAAAAAATATTTTACCGGAAAAAGTCAGCAAGTTAAGGAAAAATACGTTCAAAGAAAAAAAAAAAACTAACCAAAGATAAAATAAAAACTAAGATAAATTCAATATTCAGCCAAAAATTTTATTGTTCACATATCCTATATATACTTATACTTATTTGTGAAATTGTAATTTATAATTTGGAATAAAATACTAACTGAATTTATGTTCTTCATCATATTCGGCTTGTTTCTTATCACGCACTTCCTTTAAACGCTCATATAATGAACGATGATCTTCTTCTGGAACTTCTGAAAGAAGAAAAGATTTAACTGAAAACACAACAAAGAATATTTTTTAAAAATAAATGAAATAACGGAAAACTACCAAAAAAAAAGAAAAATCGAAAACTTAGGTATTATGAAGAAAAAAATAGGAAAAATTACTAAATAGATTCTGTACGAGTCTAAAAAGATTAAATTATATTCGAATAAAAAAAATGAAACAAAGAATAAATTAAAATGAGCCTTTTAGATTGCAAAATTATTAAGTAAGATAATGGCTGCGATGAACGTTACCGCAGATTATTGGTAATTTTACAGCATAAGACAACGAAAGAATAAAAAGACGAGGATTTAAATTACTGGCGCAAAAACAATACAAAAAGGGAAGAAAGGATAGGTGAAAAGAATGGTGGATGGAAAAGAAAGAAATAAAAAAGAATCAAATATATAAATATATTTATATAAATTAATAAAGTTTTTGCAGTCCACGTGAACGAAAAGTTTCAGAAATAATTTTTGCAGTCCACGTGAACGAAAAGTTTTAGAAATAATTTTTGTAGTTCACGTGAACGAAAAGTTTCAGAAATAATTTTTGCAGTTCATGTGAACGAAAAGTTTTAGAAATAATTTTTGCAGTCCACGTGAACGAAAAGTTTTAGAAATAATTTTTGCAGTTCACGTGAACGAAAAATAGCAAAAAGAACGTACCAACTGGATCATTTGCTTTCCGAACCTTTTCCCATTCTTCCTGGCGTTTTTTTCGAACTTCTTCTGCGTTTTTCTCTGAAATAAAACGATCATCCATTCCAATCCTAAAACTTATAAAGATTTACTCGTATGCAAGAAAAACAGAAAAAGGCCTTAGGCCATCTTAAAGTTTAAACTCAACAATACAACTGTCTTATAATGTAGATTAATAGAAATTTGGCAACTAATTTCGCTCCTAATGCCTTTCCACAAAATTCAAATAAAAAAATAAATAAAAAATAAAAAATGACAAAAAAACTATTGAGGGGAAAAAATAAGAAAGAAGAATGGCCTATAACAATTCGATTATTTATTCTCTTTACGATAGAATATTTTCGCTACGAGGGCGACGACCTTGGAGAAATTCAACGGATAATCGACAAGTACCAATAGTGGAAAATAATCGAGGACTTCTAGGAATCCAAAATATTTTGCGCCAAATTAAATCGAGTGAAACGAAAAACCCCTATATTTCGCGCCTAGTTGTTATCTTTAGCGAAGCATTTCTAAATAATTACATACACTCCTTTTTCATTTCTTTTTTCTCAGATAGCTCATAAGAACGATCACGCGGCCTCGGACCGCAAAACTCGGGCCGCGGTTTTTGGACCTCAAATTCTGATTTTTAACGATGTTAATCGCTTATTGCGACAGCAATAATATTACGTGGACGAATTCACGTGCTAAGTGGCGTTTTGACGCAAAATGCCGATGCGCTGGGTCGTAACTCACTATTTGCGTGTTCACCTAAAATCGTCGGGCTTCAAAATTATGGATTTTAAGTTTTTGGCAAACTGCCATTTTTCTTCTCCTGAAGTTTTTGTGTTGTGTCATGAATTCTTCTTTTGATCCTTAGGCCATCTTCAAGGAGAATTTGGAGGAGGTTCTATGTTCATTTAAGAGTCTGGTAAAGACCTGAGAATTTGGTGAAAGTTTTGGGTCCATTTGGGAGTTTGCTGAAAGTTGTGGATCCATTTGAGAGTCTGGTAAAGATTATGGGTCCATTTGAGAGTTTGGTGAAGATTGTAGGTCCATTTGAGAGTTTGGTGAAGATTGTGGATCCATTTGAGACTTTGGTGAAAAGTTGTGGATCGATTTGAGAGTTTGCTGAAAGTTATGGGTCCATTTGAGAGTCTGGTGAAAAGTTGTGGAGTACTTGGACCACTTTTATAAAATGCATTTAAAAATTCGTGAAAATAATATACTTTATATTATAATTGGTTCGATTGCTCGTGTTGAAAATGAGAATTCACTAGCCATCTTTGAAATTTAATATTTTTGTTGAATTTATCGTTTCATACTGATATTTATTTATATTGTAATACTTTTTGTTTTTTTTAATACATATTTTTCATTGTTTTTTAATATATATTTTTTAATATATATTTAGTATATTTTTATATTTCCGTGTATATTTTTTTTAATTTAGTTTTTTCAATATGATATAATTCTTTCATTTCCAGGATTTTGTTCAATTTAAACGAATTAAAGCAAATTAATCAAAAAGCTTCATTTCTAAGGTAATTTTTTGTTTTCAAGTTTTATAAATATTTTTTATTTTTAATTTAAGAGAAAATAAATTTTTGATAATTTATTTCCCCTCTTTATCTTTCTTTTAAAGCAGTTTTTTGGAAATGAAATTTAAAGAAGATTTAATGGAAGGTTTAGATCAATAAATTTAATTTAGTTTAATTATAAATTTAAAGGTTTAGGAATAGTTCGAAATAAGGTAGAAGATTGAATAGAAGTTAAATGAGCGGAAGGAGAGAGGATAAATGCCTAGCTTTTAATATTTAATCTTCGAAAATATCATTAAGCAATTTGGAAAAATGTGGGAGAAATTATCAGTAAATTTTAGCTTTCGCAGTTTTGATTATTTTTTTATCAAACAAATAAATTTTTTAATATTTAAAATATTGTAGAATTAAGCCTATTAACCGAACAGTTTTGGTAAATTATTAGTGAATATTATCTATTATTTTTTTTGGGAAATAACTGGCAAATTTTTGAAACGGATAGTTTTAAGATCAAGATGATAACAGATGTTCAACTGGCGGTTTTTTCGAATTTAGTCGGTGTTTCAATTTTTGCACTTGTCATACTCTTTCATTACGTTGTCGTCAACAATCCTAAGCGTTCCAAGGAACAGTGATATGAATTTCTATTCAACAAAGGTTGAAAATAAAGGTCGTCATACTTTAAATATTTTTTCATCTTTTATTTTTAAAATGTAAAAATTTCGGTGTTTTGTAGACTTTTGTGGTATTAATAAAATATTTCTTTGAGCTTTTTTTTATATGCATTTTCGATATAAATCAGACCGTAATTGTTGGTTTAATTGGATTTCTTAATTTCATTAAGTTTGGGTGGAAATTTGAAGCTTTTTATACGATCGAAGTAAATAATTTTTCTTAGAACGAATGTTATTTTTTTTTTTATTCAGTATTTGCTAAACAAATAAATAAGTGAATTAATATAGGAAATGCATGAAATTTATGCATTGCCATTTTAAGGAAAAAAAAAGGTGTTTAAAGAAGACAAATAAATGAGCAATGAGATCGAAAAATGCATTCTTTGGGGAGGAATAAGACGGCTCATAGTAGAGTCATTAATGATATCAGATTGACCATTGACCGTGAACCACAACTCAAGCTCGAGTTTTCTATAGAAGAATAGTCGGGTCAAGTTCAAATCTAAATTTTCACAATTCACGATGACTGTTTTGTTTTGTCGCATGATCGGCGAGAAGTAGCACCGTATTGTAAATATGCTTTAACTGTTCCTTAGTCTGAAATTTTTCTTTAATATTTTTCTTTTCTATATATTTGTCGTATAATTGTCTAAAAAAATTTTATTAAATTAAATTAAATTAATTTAATTTAATTTATTAAATTTGATTATTATAATATTTAGTGATTTAGCGATATACTAACAGATTTATAGAAAAGACAGTTGATAGCATTTTCATCTTCTCCTCCTGGACAATCTATATTATCATCACAAAGTTGTTCAGACGTAATGCAAACATCATAATGATGCGAACTTCGTGATGGGCATAACATTTGCTTGTGACCATATCTTGACGCAACACAACCTGCATTATATAATAAAGGAATTTTTTTGATAAAATATAAATAAGTTTTTGAAATATTTGAAATAAAAAATATCTAATAGATCAAATTCTTAAATAGAGTTTTTGTATTGAGAAAAATTCATGGTTTTGGATATTCAAGTTTTTTGTACAGTTTAAAATAGCGATATATTTGATAGGAAAAAAATGGCATAGAAATGGTGACAAAATGAATAGAAGAAATTTTTTTCGGTGATTATTTAAATCAAAAGTCAATTATAATAATTAGCATATTTATTTAAACAAGGAATGGCTTCTATTACTATCATCGATGGCATCAGATCGAGCAGTTTGGAAAGGCCTTAGGCTTTATTCTTGTAGCCAGCGGAGCCAGCCTAATCAATTATGAGTAAAATACGGCTGTTAGAAGATGGATATATATTTAAATTTAATCTAAATCTAAAATTATTCACTATGGTTGCAATTCTATTTTTAATATTATTAATATTAGCCAAATAATATGAAATGAAAATAAATTTGTCCTGAGGAAAATTTATCCAATTATCCTTCTTGGCAATAAAGGAACAATCAATGAAAGGAAGTGAATTGGTTGCTCGAATAGAAAAGTTCGAGCAAAATTTAAACCCTTCTATATTATCATTATCATTATATTATCATTTATCATTAATCGATCATATATTTCACAGCATTTCACAGATAACATTTCACAGATTCTATATGATTTGTGATTTCGATTTATTAGTGCTCACTGCAGTATGTTTCCCCTCGAATAAATTAATATGAAACATGAGGAAAAAAATTTCGAAAGTTTTTTTTTTTTTTTTTTAGAAATTTTAGGATTAAAATGAATATGGTGTTTAATAAAGTGAAACTGAAAGTTTTCCAGATTTTGAAATTGCCGTTTTTTTTGGTTTCAAACGGTTTTTCATTATAGCTTGCTAAGTTTTCAAGAAAATTGATCTAAAATAGGTGGCTGTGGCTTTTCGCTTTTCGTCTTTCTTGGAATTTTTAAGGAGTTATTCATTTCTCAAACTTTTCGAATTCGTAAAATAAATATTTAGAAGTACAATAGAAAATTTATATGATGAGTGGACAGTTATTTCGAAGGATTCTATCAGTTCCCCATATGCACAGACCTGCACTGATATACGCTCATAAAAACACCTTTATGAGTCGAATGATTTTCTCTGGAATACTGTCGTGTTCCATCATCTTTTAAGGCCCCACTCTATCAACTGAATCAAGAGCAGCCATAAAGTCGATGAAACATGTGACAATGAGATGCAAATATCTGAAGCGATTTTCCAACATTCTTTATCTAACAAATATTTTTTTATGAAAAAAATATCATTTTGCGAATCAATTGTTTTCCCGATTTCTTGGACTTCTCTTTTCAACTTTTTTTTATTGTTTTCAAATTTCTCAAAACTGGTTGGTTAGTTACCTTTAACATTGTAAAATGATTAATTTATGAAAGTCTCACATAACTTCACTTTTACTAATTTATATTGAGAAAACTGTATTTTATTGCATAAATCAAATAATCTTCGAAAAAATGAAACGTTTCGAAATACTATGTAAATTAAAAAGCAAAGTAGAAAAAAAGGATGAATTCAGAAGGAGAAAAAAAAATAATGATTTTTATTTTTTCTTTCTCCATATATAGAAATTTTCACTTTTTCTGGTACCTATAGATCGTTACCAAAGTAAGGACATTGTGGCCGAGTGGTATGTTTCAAGATTATTATCACACCAAGCATCAGATTAGCGTGTGAACTCTTTGGTGATTCTGGTGACTTACTTGTACTTCTATTGCCAAGTGAATCCCTAGCGAGAATGCTCAACTTATACGAACAACCTGCGAGACCAGCCTAACGAGAAATGAAATGCTCAGCGCTAACGACTTATTTTACCTCTGATCTTTAATAGGAATAAACTTTTTATTAAAAAAATCCGACTCATCAATATTCATTCTCAAACAACTTACATTAATTAATTAATTTAATATTACTAATTATTCAAGCAAAAAAAAAAAAAAATTTCTTGTTATTTCCCTGATAATGGAATGTAAAGAATTTTCGGCATTTTAGAGGAGAATGGTGTCAATTCGTATTCGTTAATTCTTTTCCACGTTTATCTATCGAACTTAATTCGTTATTATCAATGATCAAAATCAACAATCGTAATAGATCATTATCACTTATATATCCCCGTTTTCGTTGTGTTGTTCATTATCAGTTTTATCTTGTCAACACAATAAATCATTTCTATCACAGACGATCGATAACATTCCTTGTTTAATTTTTGAATAAGATGTAAAAAAAAAAAAAACCAATTTTTCAAACCTTAAATTTTATTTTAGACGTGTATAGCTTGAATTTAATACTAATAACAATTTAAATAGTACCATTCTATCGTGAAGTTTTTTCTAAATGAACTAAGAAGAACGAATTCTAGCTTTTGCTTGAAATTATTTTTTGTATTTCCGGCGCGATTGGCTAGCTAGAAGTTGTTCATCCTTTAAACGGTGTATGAACCATTTTAGGCGATTTGGCCATTTTAATGATAAACTAAGAAATGAACTCTTCGCCACTCTTCGAGTTCACTTATTCAATAATAATAGCTAGTAAGTATGCCTTTAAAAATTTAATTTAATTAATAGTAAAACTGGAAATCATGGAGAACGCGTTATAATATTTTAGAATCGCATTCTATTATGATCAATAATAATATTAACAGTTTGCGTTTATTTGATTAAACCTTAAAATATTCTGAAAACCTTAAAATATATGGCTAAGATTTAGTAATAATATAATGATAATCAATGTTATTGATCTATCCTTTAAGCTCTCAGCTTCCAGTACAGAATTTTTTTACAAATTACAAACAATTTTATATATTTCTGAATCTAAATTTTTATCATAAAGTAGTGTTACTAGTATTTTTTTTTTAAGAGTCCTCACCATTACTGGTTAAACTCGCTCCCCTGGCTTGTCGTATTGGACAAATATGTCAGGGAATCCCTTGGCGATAGAAATATAGTCGCCAGCATCACCCGGATTACAAAAATAAAAATACTGGCATACTGGCATTACAAAAATAAAAATCATTCTACATCTATATTTTTGTAATCACTCATATCACTCGAATTTCTTGCTTCTAAAAATCATTTAAAATCAAACTTTTTAAAGCTTTTCAAAATTTTCTCTGATAAATTTTATTAAAAAAATTATCTAATAAATTGCCATGAATTTAACGATAAATGCAAAAAATAACTTTTTTTGCGTCTTCGATGCTTAAAATGCCGTGATTTATGTGACGAAACTCGATCAGCTAACATTGGTCGTTCTTCGCTATCCAAATCGGCATCTGCCCTTTCCATATCTGCTTTTTTTATCGTCCTATTAAATTTTGCGATTTAGAAAATGGGAAAAGCGTGAAAAATAAGGAAAAATAAGTATCCTTAACCTTATTTCAATACAATAAAACAAACAAACATCAATAAAGTAAAATTGTTCTAAAAATGTTTGCATGATGATACATGCTTGATTTAATATCTTTGAAGTCATCGAAAATATTTCCAAATTTCTTATTTATATAAGTCCGATGGATGGATGGATCAACAGATGGAAGGATGGGTGGACAAAATAGATGGATTAATGGATGGATTGATGGGTTATTTGGAGGAAGCACTAAGAAGGAATATATTGGCTATTGCAAATGTACAACTTTTAATAGTTGTAGGAAGAAACCTTCTTGCTTCTTTCCTCCCAAAAAATAGGACATTTCAGGATCAAAAACTTTTATAAATTTACCTTATGTCTGCTTTAACATTCAGGATGCCTGCTGCTTCTGTCGAATCTCCTTTGTAGCGCCCATATATTGTGTCCCTATTAAGTTGATTCTGAAAATTTTATGGGCATATATATTTCATGTTGGTGAATGGTATTGGTGATCCATCTGAATCCCTATTCTCAAACGACTCTCTGGCGTAAAGTTTTTCATATTAGTAGAATTTGACGAGCTAGAAATATAATGATATATATTAACAAGCAAGGGCCGAAAATACTAAGTTTTTGACTAAATATAATATAAAGATATTCTCCAAGTCCATGATCCTTTGACGCTTATTTTCTAGAATTTTCTCACTTTTGTGATTCTCATTTTGTAATGGATAATACCTCCCTACTTTAATGTATTCCCTTTGTTTAGTCAAGTTGACGCCTTTATATTCGATATTGTTCGTCTAGGATATTTCGGCAAATATTGTCTGATAGGATTAACAAAGAAAAACAACCTGAGTTGATGATAAATATAATGCAGCGTCGTCAATCGAATTACCTACTGCTTCGCGCAATGCTTCTATTGACCTGGAATCAGCATTTGCGAGCAAGATAGCTTTTTTTTAGAATAGCATTAATTCTTGATTAGCCTTTTTGAAATAATCTAAAATACTCTTAGAGCGATGGTAAAATAATGTATTTGTGGAGAAAAATTACTTCTAGAATGGGTTGCTTACTCCTATACTCTTATACTTCTATGAAGTTGATGGCTTCCGTTATAGTTTTGATCCAGAAAGAAACACTGCAATCAGTTCATCTTTAGCAATATCTTCGCTTTATTTCCTTTATTTGATCTTCGAAACTTAATTTAAACGAATTTTAGTCCGAAAATGATATTAGAATTCATTTCATCCTGCTAAATGAACTTATTCGGTGACAGAAGATGGCTTCTCTTGTTTTCAGATATGACATCGGATCGAGAAGCTTGGAATTGCCTCAACCTTATAGCCCAACCTTATATGTTAGAAAAAAGAATCCATTTAATTATAAAAACAACGAAAATTTAGCAAATTCCAAAGTCTAATTTAAATAACTGAACATTCAAAAAGAGATGAAAAAGAAGTGAAATAAAAAAATAAAATTGGCTTTCTAACCAAATCCACAAAAAAATAATTTTTTCATAGCTTTTTCATGATCTCACTAATCAGCATGGTGATGAATTAAATTATTAATCAACAATTTTTAAAAAATAATCATTGCTAAATTTTTTATTTAATATATTTAAATAGAATTATATAGATTTTTTATAATAAATTATAAATTGTATAATATTTATATTGTATAATTTATATCTTAATAATTTATATCATGTATTTATATCATATAATTTATATTTTAATATTAAAATGAAATCTGATATCCAAAAATATCCAAATATCTAAAGAAAACACTCAAAATTAATAATATTGATAAAAATTAATAAAAAAAAATTTTTTTTTATCAATCTTACCGAATTGCTCAATTTATTTTACTGGCTAAAGAAAGCTTCCAAATAATTGCAGCAAATATTGGTCTTATATCCGATTTATTTCCATTAAATTATAATTTATCAGTCAGTAAAATTTTTATTGCAAATCTTTTTTCTTTGATGATAATTTTATAAAATTGTTTTTTCATCCGGAAATTTCCAATATAGAAGAAAAAAGCGAAATTTAAAAGCAAACTGATGCAAAAGTTAATGTAACTTGAAGACTGTTAATCTAACGACAGATTTTTTCACCCCCAATTTAATCTCTGGCAAAATGTTTTATTATCCATCTAATTTATTTCACCATGGCAATAATATATATTTATAAAAATTTTCCATTCCAAGCACTGATAAATTTCCGATATTTTATATATTATTTATTTCTATATTAATCATTATTATATTAATTTTTATATTAATATTTATATTAATATTTTTTTATATTAATTAAATATTAATATTTTATATTAATATTTTTTAGATTATAAGTTTGAACTTATTTTTATTATTATTATTTTACCATTATTTGTGTAAATTTTACATGGCGGGTTATCTGCAAGAACGATGAAAACGAGAAATTTTCACATTTTATTTAAATTTTAAAATAGCGAATCACATTAAGGCCAAAGTACCAATTACCAAATATTGAAAATATAAAAAATCTTCGACAAATACTTGTAATAATATTGTATTTTTCGATTTTAAATATTAACTGAAAGTGTAGCAAAATTTTTCGAAAATTCTTTTCATTTTGAATTTTTAACCATTAAAAATAGTTTCAGCTATTTATTATAAAATAAGATGTATTTTATCATGGATATTTTATTCAGTTTTGTCGATATTTGGCAAAAAAAGAATATTAAAATTCATAATTGAAAAGAAAGTGAAAAAAGTAATACAATTGAACGATATGCCTAAAGAGAGAAAGAATTGCAGCATCTTTAGATTTATTAAATATAAATATAAATAATAAAAATTATAAAATCAATATATAGAGAGAATTTAAAATTATTATAGGCTTTTGCTCGTTTTTTTTTACAATTGAAATTCATCAAAATAAAGCTCGATTATCAATTTCATCCAGGATTAAAACAATAATAAAAGGCATAACTAAGCCTTAAAGAGAGTTCCAACCAGAATTTGGACATTAAAAACTATAATCAGCCTATTAAACTAAATTTCAGAGTATATTTAGTTGGTATTTATATTCTCAAAATAAATTCGTTTTATTTATACAATTTTACATGAATTCAATTAATTTATTGTACAAATTAAATTTTATCAGATTAATTCTAATGACATAGAGAAATCGTTGATAAAAATTTAGACCAACTGTGATCACACGAATTTTTTACTTTAGAATTTTAAATATTTATTGTGCTATACAAAAAGATGAATGCGATTAAAGCCTATCTAATTGAATTTGTATGAATTTGTTTAAAAAAAGAATCTCTAGAATTTTTCTTATCAATAAAGCCTAATAAAATGAATTCTCAAATCATTATCATTTATCAATAGACGAATGCATTAATGCATTTATAAAATTATAATTGAAAAATGTTATGGTGATGTTAACATTAATAAAATAGCATTCATATGCATGTTGCCTATTCCTCACATGATTTAAAATCAAATGGTTCATTCTAAATTGTCAAAAATTTTCAAGGAAAAAAATATTGGAATGGAAAATGCTTGGAATAATTGTGAAAAATAAAAATATTATTAAAAAATTCGAGAACAATTTAAGAAATTTTCAATAACAATTTCTGATTAAAAATGCCATTAAATAATATAAAAAATTTTCACTAAAAGTCGATAAATTTAATATTTTAATTTTTTTATCAAATTAATTTTATTAATTTTTTGCAAATAATTAATCTTTTTTAGAAAATAGTGCCTTTAAATTCTTTATTCTAAACTAATTAATTCCATGATCCTAGGATTTTCCGAAAAAATTACTGAGGCTCTCTCAACGATTTTATTGAATTACAATACCATCAACAATTATATGAAGTAGGAACTAAAATAGAAAATTTTAAAATATTTTCATAGCTATTAAATAATTCAAACTTTTGTTTTGAATTTTTATTTTGAAAAATTTTGAAATAAATTCAATTTTACGAAATTTTACTTACTAGGAGTGCCCCCTACCCAAAGGACGAGAAAAATTTTAAATAAAGCCAAAATATGCAATCATCTAATCACCATAATATTTATAATATTGGCTTTTAAATTATAATGTCAGACT